GAAAATCTTTCCATGATTGATTTATGTTAACTCAAAGTCTTTTTCTTAAGACATATATATATATATATATATATATATATATATATATATATATATAATTTTTTTTTTTTTTTTTTTCATTTATTAGAACCCGAAACCTTTCTACAGGAATGACTTCCGGGAAGATAAGAGTAAGTCATCTTATCATCTGGTTTATTTTCTAAATTGTTGCTATTACTTAATCATTTTGTGACACTTAAGTCAACAACAATTTAGATAATTTTGTTTTTTCTAAGATAAATGGCAGCAAGGCCATTTATCTAACTTATATCACATGGCAATTTTACTTTTTTTTAACCTTCCTATTTTGATCATAAATCTTTTTTTTTTTTTTTAAGGTCCACAACTTCCTCCGGTAAGTTACCAGAAAGCTTCTGAGTTACTAGACAGTAAATATATATCAATTTTTCTTTCATTCATTAAATTTTATTTCAATGTCATTTTTCAGCAGCCTTCCATAAATCCATCCAAGTCCCCAAATGGTATCTATTTATTTATTCATTCATTCTTTTTTTATATACATACAATCAGTTTTTCCAGTGCTACTTTATTAAAACTGATGCATTTTAATTAGTTTTCCTGAACTCTTATCTATCTATCTTATCTACTTCTATATCCTAGATATTAGCCAAGGTAGAAGACAGTTTCTAACAGTCTTTACTAACATTTACTTCTGTTCCACACTTTTTTCACAAAAGGGGAAATGGCTTCTTTGGATACAGTGAATCCAGAAAAGAACAACCCAGAGTCTCAGGAAAATGATGAGGTTTGAACATTTATTCTTCCTTTACCCTCTAAAATAAACGCTCAAACAGGGTCCTGGTCAATCTGGAGAGGGCTGAAGTTTGGTTAAAGTATTTTCCAAAGTTTACAATTTTATGTCCTGTCCTACAGTCTAAAATGTTACTTTCCTTACTTCCTTTCTCTTCGTCCTTCCATCACTCTGTGTTCAAAATCACAAGTTACCATACAGAGTGTTTACTGTTTCTTTAAAAAATGAGTGAAAGACCAGATGATGAGGTCATGACTTTGGAAATTTCTGATTTGGTGAGCTGAGAGGAGGCACCCCTATGGATGTATTTTAAGGAAACACCTTGAACACACTTTGGCACAATGGAAAAGTCAAAATATCAGGAAGAGAATTGTAGTCTGGTTGTCTGGTTCACCCTTGAGAGCAAATGTCTCATATAATTGTTGGTTGATCACTTATCTCCCAAAATTCAGGAAACTGGGGTTGATTTATTGGCCGGCCAATTGTTTTTGATGCTCCCCTAATTCAAACAGTTATGTGGAAGTAGAGACCTGATGGAAATGTCCAACCATCATAACGCTCAGGTTGATCTGTGCGTTTTGGCCCAAAATGCACAGATCAACCCCAGAACAAAAGCCAAAGATGTTGTGCAGTCGCTGATTGAAGCTGGTAAAAGTGTCATTATCCACAGTGAAATGTGACCTGTACTGACATGGGCTGAAAGGCCACTCGGCGAGAAGCTAAGACACATTACTCTAAAAGAAACATAAAAAAGTCAGATTTGCACTGGAGACATGTCCTGTATTCTGATGAAACTAAAGTGGAACTTTTTGGCCAAAATGACAATCGTTGCATTTGGAAGAAAAATGGGGATGCTTGTACCATCCTAACTGTGAAGTATGGAAATCCAAAACATTTGATTAAGTCATACCGTTCAAATGGAAAGCTACCAAATATGGATGAAATGCATGGAAACTTGTGATTTTGAAGACATTAAGAAATAAGTCTCAGACCTTCTCTTTTCGACGTTATTGTGACATTTTACAAATATAAATGCTTTAGGTAATTCAAAATGACTTAAAACAATAGATGTTTGGTCTGATTAAACTTCAGACTGTGAGAAAAAATGTGTTGCATATCTGTTTGCAGTTCTGTAATTTGATTACATTTGGGTTTTTTTTGTCTGTTGTTTTTTTTTTTTCAAATGTAAAATGTTGTACTGTAAAGTGCCTTGAAGTTAGTTTTTATTCTTTGTGGATTTCTCCTTGTAGGTTCTGTTTGATTACCCAATGACTGGGAACAGAGGGATCTGTTTGATAGTGGACAACTTTGATTTCTCTAAATCACGCCAGAATTTAAATAATAGAGAGGGAACCATGGTTGATAGAGGTAAGTTTATGGGTGATTACCTTCTAATGAAATCCCGTGTGTGTGTGTGTGTTTGTGTGTGTGTGTGTTTGTGTGTTTGTTTTCCCCCAGACTCTCCTCTGGGAGTAATCACTGTATTTACAATCATTTTCATCTATTTGTATTCCTTTCAGATGCTCTGAAAGAAGTGTTTGAATGGTTGGGCTATGATGTGTACATATACCTAGACCGTAATGCGGCTCAAATAAAAGATTTGTTTGCCTACATTGGCCAACGGGACCACAGCAGGTACGACAGCCTGGTGTGCTGTATTCTCAGTCATGGCATGGAGGGTGGAGTATATGGTGTAGATGGCAACTTTGTTGAGATCAAATTGCTGATAGAGTGCATCAATGGGGAGAAGTGCCCGTCTTTAATCGAAAAACCCAAGATGCTTTTCATCCAGGCCTGTCAAGGCTGCAAACAACAGTATCCAGTCAAACCAGACGGCATTGAAGACGAAACAACCCAAGTTTCTGCTGATGCGAAAGTTGTAGATCTGAGGAGCCCAGTCATCGCTGACTTGCTGGTGGGCATGTCCACGGTTCCTGATCACGTCTCCTTCAGAGATAAATTCTCTGGCACCTGGTATATACAGTCATTGTGCAAAAACCTCATCAAGTATGTGCCAAGGTTAGTAATGCATGTTGACATCTGCTGCTAATGATTTAGTGGTGGAGAGAACTCGCTTGCAAGTGCATTTCAAAACTATGATTGTAATTGAAAAGTTAATTTATTTTACTAATTTGATTCAAAAGAGAGAGTCATAGTTTATTATGTACACAGCGACGTGAAGTGCTCATTTCTGCTGTCATTTGTCAAGTCTCTAGAAAATAAACGTTTAACTTGAACAATTGAATTATCATTAGTGGTGATAACCACAGACAGTAACAGCTCTCACCCCAAGCTGTTCTTTGAGGACTTTTTACTTTTTAAATCTAACCGAAGACTCTCATGTTTTCCCAGGAGGGTTGACCTTGTCTCCATTCTCACAAAAGTGAACTTCGATGTTAGCAGCATGACCGATTACAGTCGGCTGAAAAAGCAAATGCCTCAGCCAGCCTTCTCTCTCCGAAAAAGGGTGGTCTTCCCTGTCCCTGAGAAACCCCCACCCAAAATTGGAGCGTCGACCAAAGACAATCCCTGAGAGACACTGGATTTTTTTTAATGCTTTTTTGTTTCACTGACAGTTTGCAATTTTAAATCAGATCCAGAGTTTTGAGGAATCAGGTTTATCCGTTCTTTTGTAGGGATCCCTTTTGAGTTATAGCTCTTCAAATGATATTAATAAAGTCCTACTCTCAACCTTTTATTCAGACTCTCAATATAAGCATTTTATCATATTTTCTGTGCTCTTGTAATCAGTTTAGATCTTGTGATTTGTATCTTTTATTTGTGTTTATCGTAATGTATATAAACTTCTTTTTTGTTTTATCATTTACAATACATTCTATTCTGTTTTTCAGCAACTTGTATAAAAATTAACATTATATTGAAAGTATCACAAAAAGCCAGCATATCAGTGCTACAACCTTATTCTTTAATTTTCTGTTTGTTCTTGGCTAGATCTCCTCCCATTTACCTCAGGGATGTTGCATTTTTATAAACTTTAGCTCCAAAGTGTGATTGGAGTTCCCCACCACAAATGTTTACACAATTACAGACATGATTTATTCTAACACAAGTACTTTTGCTAATTTAATACACTTTTTCATGGGCTATATTAGTAGACAAGGTTCCTGCTGCGTTTCTTGTGAATATTATGACGGTTCATTTGAATTATAAATGGCCATGTAAAGCATTCTAAAACATCTGTAGCACAATAAAAGAACTGAGCTAAATGAATGTGAAATAAAATGTTCTTAAAGAAAGTAGCCAGTTACTTTTTTTGGTGTCCATTAAAAAAAAAAAGAAATTATACAGCCGTAATGCTTTTTCTGCTTGTCTTCTGAATTTGTCATCACAAATAAACAAAAAAAAAAAAAGACAATAAATGGATCTCTGTTCATGCCTGACATGATTGTAAGGGCCTCATGAACCCTAGGTAAGTTTCAGTGGCACTAGTGGGATTTTCCCAAGGTTTGCTTTGAGGAAATGCGATTCCAACAAAACCAAGTCTCTACCTGCAGGGGGCGATACCCATTTTTCAAACCATTTTGTGGTTGCAGTTGACCCGGATGTTGATACGATTTGTATTTTCCCCCATACTGTTGGACTCCTTAGTTGTCAGCTATCATCGTCTGGCGATCTAACTAGTGATGTAAGAAAAATAAAAAACAAATGTCTAAGAAACAGCAGAGGGACCTTTAGGTTGTAGTTTCTCCTACAACATCGCTGCGCTGGCCCTTTAAGAAAGCCGGGGATCAAAGAGGTAGCGCAACCCGTCAGAAAGCCGCATCCTTTTTCAGTCTCAATGCTATTTTAGTGTTTTTAGTATACATTTTTTTTTCATTTAATCCCAATTAAATCCGGAAGCGTGCATGCATGTCAGTTACAGTTATTATTGTACTTTTGAAAACGTCCTAAATCTATCATATTAGGCTTTTCCTTTTTCGCTATTCATGGAAACCATTTTATTCGCTTTTCTGCGACATTCTCAACATTCTGGTTGTTGGTCGGGTTGTCCAGGCGCAGGTCACCGAGTAAAATGTAATCAATTTCGTGTGAGGGTATCGATATTTTCAACAAGCCCTAAAATACCCCCAACTCGTTGCTTTCATCGTCAAAAAAATGATTTCCCTCATCACTCCACCTGGACATCTCGCTGTATTAATATCCGTTTCTTTAGCAATGATCTGATCTGATTCCTAACAGTTACTTAGACGAAAGCGATGATGGCTGCAGGTTTTTCTTTGGAGGAAACTGCTGCAGACAATAAATCTTCCTGCTAACTAAACGGTGGCTGGTTTTCAGCTGGACACCTACAGCATTTTACAGCTTAGCCTGTAAAATTCTGAGTAGCTGTTCGCTGATCATTTTCAGCAAATGTTGCAGATATTAGCTTTTTTTTTTTTTTTTTCTTGTTGTCAAGTATGGGTTATAATGAGACTTTTCGCAATCAAGTATTTGGATGTGTTAACTTTGTGCAGTGTTCTTGATTATCATAATGTGACATGTCAGGTTCAAAAACTTACGGGCATTTCAAAGGCATTTATTGACGAGCTGAAACAGGACCATCAACAACTAAAATCCAATTTGTAATTCTGTTTCATAGTGCTTCTGATCAGCAGAACAAGCTTACACCATAAATATGTCTGAACAAGGATATCAGTCACCAGCTACTTCTGACAGACGGTGAGTGTTTTATTTTATTTTATTTTTTTTATTACTTTTAAACATGAACTTGTCTTACAAATTTAAAAGATCTAGGTTCTCAATTCAAAATAGTTTCTATGTTCGACTGTTTTCCTGCAAAGCCGTTTTTCATGACCTGGTTTATAGATAGTGTTTTGGAGAAGGATATGCATATGTGGCAGTCCCTGATAAGCAAGTAGCAACCAAGCCAACCAGCTGCACCTGCAGAAGGCCTCTCTCCAAACCATTAATGAAAAAAACAGCAAAACTAAATAGGCACTGACGTTGCCAAATCCCTTCCATGTGTAATAAGAAAATGGCAAAAATCATCACGAAGCAATATAGAGAAGCAGTATTAAGTTTTAACTCAGTTTCAGATCCCAAAACAAGACAACTGAGCTCTGCCGATGACTGCTTCTTCATTTTTATTTTTTTTCATTCATTTCTTGCAAAGTCAAAGCCGATGATTTTTGTTTCCGTGTTGAACAGCCTGAGCACACCAGAACCACAGAGGATGGGCTCCTGGAAGACACCCATACAAATCCTGTATGAATATGGCGTCGTTAGCGGAGACCTCCCCGTGTTTGTGATGGAGAAAGCAGAAGGAGAGGCTCACCAGCCCAGCTTCGTCTTCAGCGTGACAATAGGAGGCGTTAAATGTACAGGTGTGCAGCAGCAGTAAGCGCTTAGAGTGACTCGCCAACGTACCCTTATAGATTTGTTCATGTTGGGAATTAATGTAATTGACTAAAGCAGAAGTAATGCATAATTGTGAGGGAAATAAATGTATGGTTTTTAAGCTGATGCTGCAATTAGACCTTCAGGTTTTCAAAGTTAGGTGTGTACTTTCTATTAGATTTTTTTTTTTTAAATGAGTCTTCTTTTTTTTCCCAAGTTAATGACGTAACCAAGAATCAAGAACCAGGTCATATACTTTACATCATATTTTCCCCATATGGTTCTTGGGCATCAAAATAAAGTATTTAAACCCAGTATATCTGAATTAAGATATCGCGGATCACAAATTATGCTGTTAAGAATCAGTATTTATTACAGATATGTCCAGTGCAGTATTGAAAAGCTCTAAATAATTTTTTTAAACAAAGTGAAATTTATATAACCCTCTACTGTACTGTAATTTTTTTTTTTTTTATCCTAGTTTAAGGGACCTCAATCTATAAAAATAGTTGAATCTAGAAAAGGGATGGACATCATAGCATCCTGGGTAGTTGGAAAAATGTGAAACATTAATAAAAAGTAATAGAAGTGGAACTGCACACCAAGTAGAGCTTTCTACATAGAGAATGTTCTCACTGCAAAGTTTTCTTTTAGGCCTGTATTTTGGTCCTTAAAGGGTTGAAGTTGACATTATGTGAAACTGTGTTTTTAAATCTGTTCTGTCATTTGTGCAACATAATAAATGTTTCTGCTTTTACAGGTCAGGGACCCAGTAAAAAGGCAGCTAAGCAGCAGGCTGCAGAGGCCGCACTGAAAATTTTGAACATCGACTCTGAAAGTGGGTGAGTAGAGCTCGACAAACCGTGAACTAATTGATATTTATCTAAAGAATAAAGGGCTTTCCAACTGAAATAAACTTAAGAAAAAATGGAAATGAAATATACTTACTGGGTCTAGAATGTGGAATTAGCAAAATGTTTTGAAGTAAAATAAAGATTAGTATATTTGAATTGTGTTTTTACTGACTCATCTACAAACTATTAATCTGAGAACATTATTTTGCATCTATAGACTGTCGGATTTGTCGTTTACACAAAGTCTCAACACTTGATTTTCAAATCTGGTTTGTAAAACACTTGAAAATAAATTCATCTCTTACCGCAGTAGCTGATTCTCAGACTTAAAAATGTCGGTAAAGTCAAACCTTCAATTTCAGTACATTTATAAACCCAGTAATACGATTAATTAAACGTGGGGTGTTAATTTGTCGGACTGATGTCACGATGTCTGCGATGTTGCGTCCAACAGGGCCGTTCCTGGGAGGTCCAACACTAATGGCATCATAGCAGAACCAAACAACCCCGTGGGCCTGCTGCAGGTGTGCTTTTACAAGGATCTCAGATTTTTGCATGCATATGTCAATTTACGAATGTGTAAAAAACCTTGCGTGACTTATGATCTGAACATGATATTGAATTAACCATGGATTTTTTTTTTTTTTTTTTTGTTTCAGGCCTTGGCGTTGCAGAGAAGATGGCATGTTCCTGAGTACATTATTTTAACAGAGAGCGGCCCGCCGCACCGAAAAGAGTTCACAATAATCTGTAGACTGGAGTCGCTCACAGAACAGGGTGTGCTGTTTTTGCTGTTGTTTATTTCTATTTCAAACACAATTTAACTTTTTTTTTTTTTTTCACATGTTTGATGGGATTCTTCTGAGGTTTAGGTTTTACGTTGCAGGGGTTGGAAACACCAAAAAAGCAGCAAAAAAGGAAGCGGCAGAGAAAATGGTGGCGAAACTTCAGAGATTATCGGGATCCCCTGAGATCACATGGGTCTGCTATAGTTTTATTTATTTATATATATATATATATATATATATATATATATATATATATATATATATAATTTATTTTTTTTGTTTGTTTTGTTTTGACATACATGTTTGTCAAAATTGAAATCAATTTAAACTTTCTTTTTTTTTATTTGGACCTCATGTTTTTAGACTCCTAATCCGAGCGTTTGCTTTGAGAACATCAGGAACTCCTCAGCAGAGAAGATCTCTCTACTCAGGAGAAACCCTCTGAGCATTCCCAACACTGACTACATACAGATGCTGCTAGATCTCTCCAAAGAGCAAGGCTTTGAGGTCACATACTTTGACATAGGTGGGATATCTACATCTAAACTGGTCTATAAGAAAATCTCTTTAATTTCCTTCCATCTCTATCCCATTCCCTCTGACTTTATTCTTTATTCCCAGAATAAAAAAATATATAATTTCACGTTTTCCTAGAATGAAATGTTCTTTATTCTAGGAGTTCTTGAAGATGGAAAATCTATTTAATTTGAAAAACAGAAAAAATGAAATGTTCCCCGATCTCTCCTTTTTGAGCCAACAATTTTTATTCTATATACGCGAGTATGAGACAATCCCCATTGTCTAAGTGTGTCTATGTTTCTTTTCTTCCTCTCTTCATCATGTCTTTCCCTCCTTTCTTCCTTGCTTCCTTATGTAAATGCAACAGAGTTTGTTGTTAGGTGTGTCTAAATTTGAAAAAGTTAAAGCATATGAATACCTTTGCACGCCTTTGTGCACACAGTTTGATTCCAGGTAGCATCTGATGACTCCTGATGACAGAAGACACAATCGGCTCTCCTTTGTCAACGTGTCTGTTGTTTTGCAGATGAGCTGACGGTGAACGGTCAGTACCAGTGCCTGGCAGAGCTGTCCACCAATCCCGTCACCGTGTGCCACGGCACCGGCATCTCCTGCAGCAACGCCCACAACGACGCCGCGCACAGCGCCCTCCAGTACATGAAGATCATGGCTTCCAGCAAATAAAAATCCCACCAGCACCTGCAGAGTCTCTGCCTGACCCCCGTCATCTGTACTCATCTGTGTCACAGAGCAGCTCCACTTGATTTCTGCTGGTTTTATTGTAACTGATGAGGAGATTAAAAGATCCAAAACTTTTAGCATAAGCAGGTTTATTATGGTGCTTTTAAGAGGCTTCGACTATCCAGAATATTTAAGCAAATGTTAAGTAAGAGCAATGAATTAGTTTTTTAACTTACCTTGAACTAATCATGCTTTGCTCATTTATATTTTACACTGCTGGCGGTAACACTTTATTTGAAGGGGGTTGAATAAGACTGTCATGACACTGTCATGAACATGAATAAGCCTTCATGAATATTCATGACTGTTGTCATAAAGCGTCATTCGGTAAATTATGACACTTTTAATACAAAGTTGACATTATTCAAAATGTCTTTGTTATGACAACTTGACATTAACCAGGAAATCATTACTGTTTAAACTTTACCTTTAATAACATAAATTTACCTGATTTTTAAAGTGCAATCAGTAATACTTTTATAACAAATTTATATCAGTAATGATTTCTTGGTTAATGTCAAGTTGTCATAACAAAGACATTTTGTCATAATTTACCGAATGACGCTTTATGACAACAGTCATAAATATTCATGAAGGCTTATTCATGTTCATAACAGGTGTCATGTCATGTTTAAGACAGTGTCATGACAGTCTTATTCAACCCCCTTTCAAGTAAAGTGTTACCCTGCTGGCTCGGTTCTTTCACTTGATTTACAGTCAGGAGGCAAGTTACTTCAATTTCCAGTTATTTTTTATTTTTTACTGGCATCACAAAACATTATATATCAGGAGAAGTAATAGTTTGACTGCTAGAAATGTTATCCATTTAAATCCACCCTCAGTTTGTAAACAGAGGATCCAGAAAGTGTTCACAGTGCTTCACGTTTTCCACATTTTACGTTACAAACTTATTCCATATTGTTTTAATCTCCTTCCTCAAGACAATTCTTTTGATTTCATTCTTTGTGTTTGACCTCTGACCTGCACTGTTAACTGTGATAGACCTGCTTATGCTAACCAGCCTCTGTTTGTTTTGAAACCAGCAAATAAACCCAATCAAACTCCTGAGTTATGGTTCCTCACTGTCAGGCTGATGGTTGTTGATTGTTGCAGTTATTGCTGGAGATAATTCTCCGAGGAGCTGTCCGACAGGCGGCCGTCAATTTGTTTGGGCCACGCGTCTTCCAGTTCTGGTCCGTCTGTGGTCCACATGTGGATTCAGTTTTGATTTTTTTAGCTTAATACTAGTAGTAATGAAGAACGCCCAGTGTAGAAAACGATGAGATAGTTATTCACTGACCATACAGATGGTTTTTATTTCTAAACTTTTGGAAAATGCAACACATTTTTATGATAAATTTCAGTTTTTTTTGTTTTTTTTTGTGTTTTTTTATGGATTTAGTTCAGTAGCCAAACATATGAACTATTTTAAATGTGGTCAAGTGCTGAAGTTGAGACCAGATGGTTGCATACATTAGAAAACAAGGTTTTGTTTTCATTCTTCTTTTAAATAGAGAATCACTGTTTAAAGTTAAATTAGACTAAATTCATCCTTTTTTTTGTTTTTGCTCAGTTCAGATTACTTCAGTTATTTCTGTTTACTAAATGCTACAATGATGACATGCAAAAATATATTTCTCATCAGTTTCTTTGTGTTCAGAAGTTTACATACACTTTTTTAGTTCTTGGAAGAATGGCTTGTTGCTGAAATGTGCTATACATGTAGACTTACCTTGCCTCATCTGCTCTCAATTAGCGTTTTTTCCCCCCCCCCCTTTCATCTTGACTGAAAGCCTTCTGATGTTCAGTTTTGCCCCAAACCTTCAACCACAACTGCAGTTTCTCCAGGATGTAAAAACACACCCACTCCTCTGCTTGTCGTTTGCCATTTTATTAGAACAAGCACTATGCAGCAGCAGTGTACAGTGTCCATGGAAAGATATGTACTTAGTTAAAATTGCACTTTAGAAGGTATCCACTAGGGAGTAGATCTGAATAAAACCAAGCTGACTTTTAGTGCTTTGTGATCCGTGTCAGTCCACAAGGAGGATTGGGTCCAAGTTAGAAAATAATAATCTTTCTCTGTAAGGCATCAAAGACATTCATTGGCAAGCTAAAGTTGTCTAGACATGCAGGTGGAGCGATGGGTGTAGAAAGCTTCAGGTCATCTTTTTTTTTTTTCTCTCTCTCTCTCTCCTGATTCTATGATACAAGGACTACGAGAAGCACTGCTATGAGCTGCTGGGACTCGGTCACTGAAGCCGGCGGGGCGAAAGGAAATCAGGGGCGAAAGGAAATCGGCTTCAGTGGTGAAGAACGTCTTTAAAACCGCCAGCATGATGCAGTCGGAACAAAAATACATTAAATCTAAACTATTCTGTCCAGAGGGAAAGCCTCGGTGTGTGTAATCGTCTGCAGGTAGATGGAAAGTGTGACTTTCTTTAATGGCATACCTTCTTCTCGACGTGGTGTTCCTGTCAGGTGTGTGTGTGTGTGTGTGTGTGTGTGTGTGTGAGACGCATTGATAAATGCATTAAGGCACAGCAAGTGAAACTGAAGAGTTTTAGCATTGAGATTGTGATCCAGAATTTTTTTCTTCCTTCTTTTAAATAGAGAATCACATAGATGCAAAGCAGATCTACTTTTTTTTTTTTGTTTATAATCTTCACTCTGGCTTTATGTATATATATATATATATATATGTTCCTCCCTCATCTTGCAGTCCAGAAGTATAGGAAGTAGTTTAAATGTAGGACAGTGTGCGAGTTCTCAAATGTGTTGGAGGGCTATTTTAAAAGGATATTAGTTGGAAGAAGAAAATAAAAAATAGGGAGAGCTACTCAAAACCTTAAAGCTTCTCTGTTTTGCAGTAAATATACAAACTTTATATAACTATCTTGTTTTTTTTTTTTGTTTTGTTTTTTTGCAGAAGCAAAAGACGTAGCAGTAAGTTTTCTGGGGAATCCTACGTGAATCTAGTTAAAAAAAAATAGCCTGCTGCTCTTTTACGTGGCAACCTGTAGGTGTCGCTGCTGCTTCATAATTTATATAGTCTGCTGCCTCGGAGATTTAAAATAATAGCTTTAATAACTCATTAGAAGGGTCAGTAATTTGTTATCAAGGAAATAAACAAAAATGTGAAAAATTAGAAATTAAAGTGATTTGCATGTTAAAAGACTTCACAATCTCTACCACACTTGCTTCATCTTTTCTCAAACTGACACTGCAAAACATTTACACTGCCTCTCAAAATTATTCACACCCCTTAAATTTATTTCACATATTTTCACAGCCACAAAACTTAATGGCTTTCTAATGAGATTGTATGTGAAAGACCAACACAGTGTGAAGTAGGAGTATAAAGACGCCGTTTACATTTTCTACAAATACATATCTGAAAAGTGAGGCATGTATTTATATCCAGTCCCCTTTACTATGAGGCATCCTTATTAGCAGATGAAGTACACCTGCGTGTAATCTCATATAGATGGAGATGAATTCAGGGCAGACATGGAAGAAAACTTCCTAAAGGCAGCAAATGATTTGAGACTGGGGTATTCATGGATTACAGTGGCCCTGTCAAAGTCCAGATCTATATCCAAATGAGAATCTGAAGCAAGATTTGAAATATTTCAGTGTCTAGACATCTAAAGATGTTTAAGACATACTCCAAAAGACATGCAAGGGTTACTGAATAAGAATTTACACATTCTAGATTTTTATTAGCAAAAGTATATGCTTGTTCCCTTTTCTTTCCACTTCACAGCTATGCTCCACTATCGCCTAAAATCCCAACAAAACACATTTAGGTTTCGTGGTTGTGACTTGACAAAATGCGAAGGAGTTTGCGAAAATAAATACTCTTGCGGGGCAACGTATCGGCGCCACCTGCAGACAGGAAAAACTCATTTCTAATGTATTCTTGCAGCACATTCTGACCCTAAGCAAGTCTTTGAGGTTTTGTGTAATTTAGAAGAGTTGATTTCATGGAAAATAATAAATCATGACAATGTTTTAAGTATTCATCATCTCTTCTATTTATATTCTAAAGCTAACCCACCGTATTTTCCGTACTATAAGGCGCACCTAAAAACCTTCAATTTCCTCAAAAGCCGACAGGGCACCTTATAATCCGGTGCGTCTTATATGTGGACCAATATTGAGCCACAACAGGTCTAGCAACTACGGTAAGCTGCCGTCGACTTCATTTTCGCCCGCAGAAGAAGAAGCGCGCGGTGCATGCTGGGATAGTTGTCAGAACGCTGGTTTGTTAATAAAGTTTGACTGACCTATCTACCTACCGACCGTCTAAATCAGGTCATCTACAGGTCATTTATCACCACGTTCTTCACGAACATGCTGTGCGCAACCGGAGAAGGGTGACCATCGTCCGGCCACGCCCCGGCCCAGCTCTCCTCCCTGACCGGAGTCAGACTGTTTTGTTGACATTCTTTATGTCAACAAAGTGGCTTTAGACATTCATCCGGGGTGCTTCGACTAGGGTTGCCAAGGGACCAGCCCCTATACGTTTAAAGCTGGGGGAAGAGAGACAGAGACTGCGGCAGCAGCGTGTCGGTTGGTCTGTGTTACCCAGAAAGCAGTTGGGCACAATATCGCAACACCGGACACCGTGAGTGAAACAATGACTGGGGCAGCCGACTATATAAAGTACTCGGGGATTACCCATCCACATTTGTAGACTACGGAACAAATAGCGTCCCGTATAGGTTCAATACGGGATGGATGGCAACCCTAACTGTATCGTCTATTCTATGCGGTGCGCCTTATATATGAAAAAAGTTTTAAAATAGGCCATTCATTGAAGGTGCCTTATAGTGCGGAAAATACAGTACATGGTTTATATTGTTTACTCCTGTAAACGTGTTAGTAATGTGATCTCTCTTCACTGTTTCTGTTAATTGAGTGTGAGTCGATTCCCCAGAGAAGATTCTGCCACCTAACAGATTCATTAGTATTAAAAAACAAAAAATAAATAAAAATCTGCCAATTCAAATAATTCTTTCACACAAGATATTCTTTTTTATATATATATATATATAAAAATACTTCTTTTTTTTCTCTACAATATTTGATGATATAGTAAATACGACTTTATGCCGATGAAAGCTGCTCTCTAAGCATGCACATATCGGTAGGTATTCAAAATGTCTACTCCATAGACTAGTCTAAGCCAAACTGCTGTCTGGAAACGAAATGGCTTCAACTAAAAGGCGCCTAATCCTTCGACTCGTATGGGGGTCTTTTTAAGGCAAGGACAAACTGGGAAAGTCAGAAGAGCTGAGGAGAGATCTACGTAGTAGTGGCGACCCGGTTTCCACAAGCAGGATGAGGATGTTTCCACGGATGGGTGACCATGTAGCAGCCCCTCGACGTCGTTCTCAGCTCCGCAGTCCTTCTTGTCCATGCGCACAGGCGTCGCCGGGTGTTCCTGTCCAACACCCCGCTGTGCATAGGTAAGAGCTTCCTGGTCCGCAGCGATGGAGGCGGGGCTCCGTGTGCTACCACAGGCTGACGGTGGGCTCCATGTTGATGAAGCCGGGGTTTTTGCGGAGCTCCCAGTACATGTTGTTGGAGACCCACCTCTCCCTGTGGTTGGCGTCCACCACTTTTCTGCACAAAAAGGGCAAAAATTATGCATGATTTTTAGCATATTTTTTTTTAATAAGAGAATATTTTTCTAATGATTTCCTCATGATTTATTTTTGTTATATTTATATAAAGGAAGCACCCATTTATATACAAGAGTATAAAAGTGGTATTATTAGTAAAAAGATTAGCTAAACCTTGGATTTACACCTTTACACATCAACATTTCTTCATTGATTTTGCCTCTTTATGCATTACAAAGTTTTTGTACCTTTTTTTTAAAATAAGAAAGACACGCCTTGTAGTTGCCAGGTAACTTTTCTTCTCTTACTAGCAGGATTTCCAAAATGAAACCATCATAAAAATCTTTCAAATAATTGCTGTAGTTCAGTGGCATCCAAACATTTTTATGTTCCAATTTGAAGGAACATTAAAAAAAAAAAGGAGCATGCATTGTTATTTAGAAAACCAAAATGATTTGGTACTTAATTCTTATTTTTAGCAGACCAACAACAAACTAAACACGCAATATTTTAAAACACAAACAGGGTCTCTCACGTTGTCCATTTTAAAAGAAAAGGATAAAGTTTTGCAATTGTCTTTGTAATTTGTTGACCTTGAAACTGTTAATTGTATGTTCATCAGTAAGAACACAGAATATACCTACTGACTTTATCCAAGCTTTTTGCATGGGTAGGAGACTACGTCTCTTTACTATGAAATCAAAATTAAAGGAGAAGAACATGCTTTACCTCAAATTTTACTGAGATTCTAATTCAGCTATAAAAAATATATATTTTAAAAGTTTCTATTTTCTTTAACTGTGCGTGCAGTTAAAAAAAAAAAAAATCATTCCAAGGGCTGCAAATGGGCCCCAAGCTGCACTGTGGAAACTGTTCTCAGCTCAGTTGCAAAGCCACCAAAAGATGATTTCCAATTTATTTCTAATAAAAAGTAGAAACTAGCTCAGATTGTTCTCAATCTTAATGTTCACAGCTATCGCAAAAATAAGATCGTGTCATTTTAACGGGTGCAGACAGGACTTCAGATCATCAATCACATTTGAGTATCAAGCAAAGACAATCTGACTAAATACAAATAGCATTTATTTAAGGGGGACAAAAAGGAAGCAATTCATGCCCATTTGGTCCTTTGTTTCTAAGCAGACGCCTCCTTATCCTGAAAACTGCTAGTACAACCCGTAGCAGCAATTACTGCCAGCAAGTGTTTGCAATAACTTGCGATCTGAATACTTTTACGCATCAGCGCATGATGATTGTAACGGCAACAATCACCATGGCAGCCTGCGCTGAAACGTGGGACTCAGCAGGTGAACGTCAGATAATTATCTGCTTCTCTCTCCTGTTTACTACACACTTTGATTCAGCTTCAGCATCGAGGCAACAAGAAAAAAAAATCAGGTCTTTGTAGAACTGCCACAAGTTTCATCTGCTTATAGTGTTTTTTTTTTAATTTTTTTTATTTTAAATTCAATAACCATTTACGGTGATGTTTTATAAGAAGAGTGATGGTTCCTCAGTTATGCTTTTACCTAAAACAGCAGGTCTTGATCATTTTAGAACATGCATAAAACACTAAAGTTAGAAAATTACACAGCCACTAAACTCTATTTTACTTTAATTATCTCTCTTTCTAATTATTTAATTATGCCTCTCGCCAAATGACTGCAGGAGACAGACAGCAGCTCCTCCGCAACCCTGCTAAGTTTAAGCGGGAATAGATGACGACTTATCATTTTTATGCAAATTTTGAGATGAAAATGATGGTTATGTTGCTAATTTCCTCTATGAACTGAGTTATCACAGCAGGTTTTGGTGGCAAGTGATGAAGCTGAGCTCCTACTTGTTACCGCAGCAACATAGCGTCAAATATAAGATTCAGGTTGTCTACATATCCAACATGAATCACTGTGAGAAAAAGTTTGGTTAAGTTTGCTCTATAAACTGACAAGATTAGAATCACTGAGTTAGAAAATACTCTTTGCTCAGTGATTCTGTTAACTGAGTCTCTTTGCTGGACAGAAATTAACTCTGCGATTACTCGAATAACAGCTGACAAAAACTTTCTGTACTTCCCTATTCTATTTATAGATAATACTCTTGGCTGAGTGCTTCTAGGTTTGACTGTACATCTTTGCTGCACCAAAGGAATTGGTGCAGCTACTGTAACTTTCTGTACCCTCCATCTTTCCAGAGAAAGTGCTTCTGGCTCAGAGTTGAGCTGTGTCTCTGAAATATTGAGCCACTGACCAAGCAATTGCTGCCGCTACCTTTCTCTACTTTGTCATAGAAAGGACTTGATACTATGACACTACTTCTGCAATTAACTCTGTGCACTCGTTATTTTTTGTTTCCCATAGAAAACAATCCTGGAGCTTTTCTTGTGTTTTTTCTCGCTTCCTCCCTGCCCTCTGACCCCCCCTGGCGGTTGCAACAGACGGCTCCTCAAGCCCAGCCTGGTTCCACTGAAGTTTTTCTTCAGTTAAAATGATTTCACTCCACTGTCGCCACATGCTTAATCAGGAGGCGGGATTACAGCGATCAGAAGCAACTGACTGACCTTCTTTAGACCGATACCAGATGGCGCTTCATGATTAACTATTTTTGTCAGTAATGTGTAATAATTTGGCTTAAATTGTACTCTGAGATCATACGCTACATATAACTTTGTATCACTTTGTGTTGCAGGTTTCTGCATGAGTCACGTCTGTAATTGTTTAAAATGCGTCAGTGAACGGTCATGCATCACATGGGAGGCACTTCAGCGGCACGTTTTACAGGCCAAGTGTTTTGGATTACAAAGTCAATAAAATCAGCATCATCTGGGTGAAAAGGCGTGTTTTCAACATGAGGATTGTCCTTACTTAAAGAAGCGAGGCTCGTGTTTGATGTTGTTCTCCTCGTTCCACTTCCTCCGGGCTCTCTGGGCGTCTTCGATGCGCTGCTTCTCAGAGCCGGCCATCTCCACGTTTCCTTCCTCCAGATATCTGCGGCAGCAAAAAGACAGATAGCATACTAGGAACAAAAAAAAAAAAAACTCCTCCAGAGAACATGTTAAAGAACACCATTTAAAGCCATTGATTTTTTTTTTCTTTTCTCGATTTTGTCAAGTTTGCCATGTTTGCTGTTACAGCCGCAAGCACCAGTGTAGTTCATTGGACAGTTGTGCTCAATTGTGAAGTGGAAGGAAAAGGATGCATTGTTTTCAAGATTTGTCACACACAAAACTCTCAAAAGTAAAAAGTGGATTTATATTCGGCCCCTCTGACCTTTGGCTAACAATAACAGCTGTGGGTTTTGGGGGTACGTCTCTAAGTTTTGCCCCCGTTCTTCTTTGCAAAATAGCTGAAGCTCAGTCAGACTGGCGTTTCTGTTTATATCAATTTTGAAGTTACATCAAAGATTCCTAAATGGATTTAAGTCTAGATCCCACAGCATGATCATACCACCGCCTTGTTTCATCATGTGGATGATGACTTGTAGGAGTAAGTACTCTACCGCACGTAGCATACGGGACAAAATTATTCAACTGCAGTCTCACCTGAACAGAGATTCTTCTTCATGCTTTTAAACTTTGTGCTTTTCTTTCAAGCTTTTGTCTTGACACTCTTTCACACATCCAAGGTGTTGTGTTTGTTCATGTGTGTTCTCTGACAGGCCTACTGGGTCTTTATAACGCAGCTTTATTCATACGCACAGCTGGACCGGATCACTTCTGAAGACGATGTGTGAGCACAATTAAATGGCACTTTGTGTTGGTCTGTTGCATAAAATCCCAATAAATTATATTGGAGTTGGTGGTTGTAATATGACAAAAACGTTGAACTGCTATGAATAACTTTTGCAAGACGTCATTGATCTAAACACATTTCCTTAGCTGAGAATGGCTGTCGGGGGTCTGCACCTTTGATCGGGCCTGAATCGAGCATCTGTCCGCGGCAGGGCGTCTTTCAGCTCGGGGCACAGCTCATTCAGTTCGATGGCGAATCTGGTGAAGCCGTAGTACAGCTCGTAGTCTGTCGGCATGGAGCCTGAGGAGGAAAAGCGATCCGGGTTCCTTTTTAGCTCAGAGATCAGGATGAGATTGGCTTTTTATGCAGCCAGTATTAGTCGAGGTCCAGCTGCACGTGAAAGGATGGTACCTGGCCTCCAGACGCATTTGGCAGACGGCGGGATGCCGCAGTAAAGACCTTCGTGCCATTTCCCAAAAAGCCTGTGGATCACTTTTCCCTCTTGGTCCATCACAAATCCCTGGACCTCGTTTACGTTGGAGCTCCAGTAATTTCCCTACGAGAAACAGCCTCTGATAAATCAGCTAATAAAATCAAATCAGATACTTACAACGTCATAAAGAGATAATTTTTTTTTTCTTACCTTAACAAAGGTAAGTTTGCAAAGACAAGCGCTGCTCTTCGTGTTTCTGATGGTGATCTCCCCGTAATGTTCGATCCACCGCCGTCCACTGAGGATGTTGTGCACACAGGTGGTGACTTTGTTCCATTCATAATGATCTCCAAACCTGCAAAGAAACACACGCAGCTGACACAGCCAGGCAAAGACATTTGAAATTCACAGCATCACTCTTTTTCTGAGATGGGCACACGTGATGTCAGAAGTTTACATGCACTTATCGTTGGCATGAATATCAGATTTCTTTCAGGGCCTTAACTGATTTATTTGAACCCCGTCTTTCTCAGGATGCCCGGATCATACAACATTTTTTTTTTTAAACAAGAGTTAGGTGCAAAAATGTTAATTTGTTTTGGATTTTCTTTAATTCACATAAGGTTACAGTTATGTTTTTTTTTATTCCACAAATCAAAAACAATACTGAGCTGAAGCTTCTTCTGATTCAGCTCTATTTCGTTTGTAGACTTAAAGTAATAAAGTAAAAGGGTATTTTAATATTCAGTGTTCTAAAATCTGCTATTTCCAGTTTAATCTTTAATAGCAGCTTTGTTTGATAGATATGTTTACATGGATTTTATAGTCATTTTACATTATTATGCATGGTGCAGCTCATTAATTGCTCCAAGACCTGACCAGTTGAACCGAATCACAAAGACAGTTTACCATTTAGAACTCAGCGGGACGATGGATCTGAAAACCTGCTGGGTTGAAGTAATTAAACCACTTTCCGTTAAGAACAAACTGTTGCTAAGCGCTGGGGTGGAAGTTACCTGGGAATTGTGAGATTCACAGACCCGACTGGTAAAATCTCCATAGATTTTCCCCAGAATTTGTTTTTCCATCTCACATCTAGAAAACAAAACAGCAGACAAACATTGGAAATCGAGTCAGAAAAAGCTGTTATTAACAAGAGAGTTTAGTCCTGATGTTTCCTATCTGCTAAGCCAGACTCTCTCCCTGGAGCCTCTCGCTAATCAGGCAGAAGGTCACCTTGCCAGAAGGTGAAGTTCTTGGACTCGCAGTGGCAGGCGGAGACGGGAGGGTGGTGGCTCACCTGAGAGGAAGGATCGAACACAAAGAGTCACATTTCTCATAACATTCGCACTTATGTTTATATATTTATGTTCCATCAAGTTTTTTTTTTTTTTAGTTTTTTTTTTTTTTTTTAGAGAATAATGCAAATATAGGAATGTAATAAAGCAGGTCTAAAAAGACTTCATTTGGAACAAAGACACACATTTTACCACGTTGCTCCATCAAACACGCCTAAATGCATTTCGACATTAATCATCTTTGGCAGACTTACCTGCTCAGAGAAAAAGCAGAAGCCCTTGTCTTCCCGGATACATTCGTAAGTCTCTCCGAGCAGAGGGTTGAATGGCTTACTTCCTGCTCTGTAGTAAGTGGAGGAGTAGCCCGAGACGGCGAAAGCGGCGACGAGAACCTGTGATGGAGTCGGAGCGACAGGAAGGAGAAGGGATTGAGCGGCTCGTTGTAACGCCGGGGGATTCGAACCCGATCCGAAGGTTAAAAGCAATTAGCACCGGACGGACAAGCCCTCCAGTAACAGCTGAGTGAGATTTAAACGCAACACTTTCATTTGCAGGTTTGAGATCAGATGACCTCAAACTCTGTGCTTGTTTACCATGCGCTCAAAGGGATCCTCGGTCTCCGCAGCCTTGTCCAGCAGCTCGCTGTACTCCAGCTCCTCACACATGCGCTGCAGCGTGTTGAGCGGCTCGTTGAGCTCCACGGGCATGGACACTTTGGACAGGTCTTTGCCGATGTTGTTCCTCAGGATGTTCCACAGGTTGATGTTGCTGGTGTCCGGGCAGGGAGCCGGCAGACAGATGCGCCGCCCGTTACGGAAAGCGCTGCCAGCAAAGTCCCCGTTGGCCACTGAGGAAAACAAACAACAGTGCGAGTCTGATGATATTGAGAGGATAGTGACCAATGTTTAGCTAAAAATATTCCATGTTAAGAAATAGTTTCTGGTGGATTTTGTCTCTCCTTTGATTTGGGGTTTTATGTTTCAGATTATTAAAATCACACAGGTGATTTTACTTTTTTTTTTTTTTGTATATTCATTTATTTATATGCCAGACTGCTTGGTATGTAGATGGCATCTGATGGTCGTTAGGGATGTTTTTTTTTTTTTTTACATTTTCAACTTGTTGCTTTAACTCCAGATATAAAATGTGCACATTGTATGGCTTTACACCTCTCTGTGGAATGACATTCATTCTCTTGTCTTCCCCATTTTGAAGAATGGCTAATCTGTGGGCATCTGTGTCACTTCTGTTTCCTCAGACATACATAAGATTGCCAATGTGTGATAAATCATAAAGATTTTTAAAAAGTAAATTAGAAATTAAACTATTCTTTAGTGAAACTGACTTCATAAGATATGGTTGAGGTTCCATAAATAATCAGCACTATTATTTATTAAAAAAATAAAAAATAAAAATAAAAAGTTCCTTAAATATTTTTTCTTGCTGGCTTTGTAAAATAAAATGGTAACAAATTTACCAAAAACAAAATAAAGATGCAGCAGACACATAAGTTAAAAAGTTATAAATAATTTCTGGACACTAAATAATTAAAATAGCACTAACTGGTCTTTGTAATCAGCTGAAACAAGGAGTGAAACTGGAAGGTGAAGTAGTGAACTGGTCAGGATTGTACTACGATGGAGTGTTGTTTCCTGAGAGAATAGTGTCCTTTTTTCCCCCCCAGACTATTAAACAGATACTAAACGTTGGCGGCTCTAATAATGTATCAAACCCCTCGAAATATTATTGCCAATATGAGAACCTCATTTAGTAGGAACACAGAGTATTTTCTCTTTTCCTGCACGCTTTATTGCCTCCTCTCCTCCTCTGTGTGGGACGTGACAGAGACGAAGGAGGGAGATCCCTTCCCGACTGCTTCATAAAGCCCGAGAAAAGCCCTTGGCACAGAGCAGCACTGCAAAGTCAACTGCCTCTGCAACACTGATAAATGGTTTCGCCAGTGAAAGCGTGCGTCTGTCAGTTTGTGCGTGGCACTGAAGGGAGCGGCACAGCTTATGGGACATGTAGGAATTCCCTGCTTGACTCGTTTTCTTTTTTTTTTTTTTTTGGTCTCTCTTTCGAGACTGCGGATGCTGGTGGTGGCGCAGAAACCGGACCTACTTTGTCGGGAGACGTTGTCGGTCACGCTGGCGTTATCCTCAGAAATGTTATCGCTGACGTCGCTGACGTATGACTCATCGTCTGAGCCCTGCGAGAGGGACAGGTGGAGAGCGAGGAAAGAGGCGGTGCGTTACTGACTGATCAGAGCACGGTGCAGATTAGCCTTACACACAAAACGTAGTTTGCCTTTGGCTGAAAAACTGCAGCAGCAACTATATGTGTTACTGCGGTAATAGTAGTGGGAGACACTGCAGCATTTTCATACTATATGGGAACACAAAGAGGTCAGCGAAGGCATCAGAAAGGAGGGCATTGCAGCTACTTCCCAAGCAAAAGTATTTACACCCCCAATTTCTTTTTCATATTTTGTGACCTTGACATACACTTCAATATATTTAATTTGAATTATTTGTAACAGAGGAAAAACAAAGAGTCGAGTGGAAGATAAAAGATAAGTGTAGCATGCAGAGGGACTTATTTATGGTCCGTATATTAAACCCTGTGCATCCACTGCCTTAGGGTCATGGTTTATTTTATCATTAACATGAAAAGCCACCAAGAGCCTCATGGTAACTCTGGAGAAGCTGCAGAGAGCCACAGCTCAGGTGGGATAATCTGTTGCCTTAAAAACTACACTATAAGCCAAAACCGTTGGAAGCACAGTCAGATTTGTAGAAGGTCATTCTTTCAGTGGTATACACTAGAGCAAAAAAATAATGAATAAATAAATATGATTATGGCATAAAAAGCCACTTATTCTAATGCATTTTTACAGCAACTATCAGGCATTTAGCCGTGTTTAGATTTGTCCTCTCCAAATTGTTCAAGGAAAACTCGGCTACTCGCAGATATTCTTGTATCTGCATATTTAAAATACGAAGACGCAAGAAAATACAACTTCAGAAGCTGAAATATCAAGGAGCAATGCAACTTTGACGCGGTACTAAAAGCAACCAATCCAGGAACACTATTTATTATCCTTGCAGCTGATTGGTTGTACCTCCGAGAGTGACTGATTCTGCAGATTCCACTGAGCACATTAAAGCATATTAAGGTATAGTTTGTTGTTTTGAACTGCTAAAAAATAGGCAGCAATAAACAATTTTAGAGGAGATCTCAAGTATTTGGAAATGCCAGCCATTCATACTGGCGGTCCACTGTACCTCTGGTTTAGATTACAGCAATATGTACATCTATTTCACTACTTTTACACTGAAGTTGTGACTTCTGTACATCTTCCCAACCTTAAACGAAGCCCTTCTTTTCTTTGGTTAACATGTATTCAACAACTGGTAACATCAACGTACACTTAAGGGTAAATTAAAGAAAATGGCGAGTCGCTACAGCTAACGGTGGTTCTGCAAAACTCAAAGCCAAATTTTGCTTCCACTTCACAAATAAGCATCATCATCGCTGCTGTGTTGGTCATTTAAGTAAAATTCAAATAAAATACATAGACGTTGGTGGATATAGTGCAACAGTCTGCTTTTAAAAAAAGGGGGACAGAGAAGAAAAAGCTGTTTTAAAGTGTCTGAGCTTTAAACCTTCTGCTCAAAATCTAATTTTCAAGCTGCTCTCGTTAACCACCGTCTGATTACAGCTCTTTGGTTTTCCAGCACAAGAGCCAATTTAACCCATCTCTTAATTTACCCCAGTCACAACACACACCTGCCAGGCTCTAAACATCTTCACTCCCCCTTGTCTGTTTGTACCTCGTTCTCCGACGAGCTGGCCGACAGAAGCACTTCCTGCGCATCAAAGAACTCGGAGACAGACTCCGACATGGAGAGTCGGCTTTCATTAGAGGCCTGCTGAGTCAGAGGGATCCCCATCTGCTCCACGGCCTGCAGGCAAACACAAGCAAAAGCGGCGTTTGTTCACCCTTTCTCAACGTGACGACAGCCGAGCGGACCTGAGCAAACAGGAACAGAAGCAGCACCCGAGGGAGCAACGGCGAGCTCATATCACAACATGTGTTTCGTCGCCACGGGACGCGCTCCCCGTCCTTTTTGAATTAGTCATCTTTTCTATTAACCTTGGTGTCAGGGTTCTGCATCAAATGGTGTTCATTTAAGCTTACTCGCCAGGGTGCGTCGAAAAAAAAGCATAAATCTTTGGGACAGGAATCAATAACGCCACAGACAAACTCAATAAGCAAGCGCTGCAAGAACCTGGACGTCCCCTGGCAGATGTGATCTTATTGATATCGACACGGGAAACTGGCTCCGTCAGAGAGAGAGAGAGAGAGACCGACAGCGGTGACCTACCTCATCAGGCGTGGCGATGATGTTCACGCTGACAACTTGTTCCGTCAGGATAGATTCAGAGTGGATGCGGTTGAGGCGGCTTCGGAGCTCCGCGTTCTGGGCTAGAGCCTGAAAGATAAGAAGCGTGACGCAAACGTTTTCAGTAAAGACGCACCAATTAATCGATCGGCCAGATATCCAAATCAGACAAAGAGTCTAGAGCCGAGATGCCAAACTGTAACCCTCGATGGTCAGTGTCCTGCAGCTTTTAGGTTTGTCCTTGTGTAAACAAGACTAAATGAATAACTAAACTGTGTAGCTTACAGTCAATTTGGCCAGTTAGGATGTCAGGCTTTGTTGGTTTAGGTTTGAGACCCTTGATGTCGAGGCAACAAAAGCAGTGAAATGATAATTTAGGGATTTATCTATTTAAAAGCCATCAGCTGAGAAAAACTGAACATTTGAATATTAAAACTAAAAGACATAATTTATGTAGAAATCAATGTAAAACGACTCGTTTCTAAAATTTAGAATTGTACCTTTCAGATGATGACATAAGGGACAGAATCTGGAAATGTAGACGTTTTTCATGCTCAGTTTTCATTTTTCCATACAAGAGCGGATTTTTTTAAATTTTTTTTATTTAGCATTAATGCTTTGTGAAAAATGGATTAGGTCTCGTCCCTGGTTAGAGACAAGGCATCAAGAAGCAAACTATTGTGAGATGTAGCAAACGAGCCAAATGTGTTAAGTGGTTATTAAAATAAGTAAAAGAAGAAACGTGTGGTGAACTAAATATAGATCCTCCCATTGAAGCTCCAGGTACTAAAACTGCTGTATCTATGGCAACTACTAACCACAGATTATCAACCTCCCACAGAGCTTTGCTGGGAAATCCGACCTGCAGCCTGAGAGAGCCATGTCACATACTAACAGCCAATTAAGGAAATAACAGAGATAAAGCAGCGAGTGAAACATTTCACTAAAATTATGCCAACAGTTAGAAGGAGGAACAGTCCAATTAAATCGCTGGAGTAAAGAGACAGCCCTCAGGAGTTTGGTTAATGAACTGCGCTGCACATCTCCCTCCATCACCAATTAAACTGGGAAAAGATGATTGGGCTTTCATGACTCGCTCGACTCTGCTTTCATCTGCACAAGTCATCTTTTCCTAATTGTGCTGTCTGAGACTCTTAAGAACGCACATTGGGTTGTGTGATTTCTTCAAACGTAAATTGAGGTAACAAGAAAACAAAATATTTGTGTCATTTCCCATTCCAAAATGATGATCCTTTACGGCACAAAAGTAGCCACATTTGCCTGCAAAGAGTTCAGATTACAGGTGAGGAGGAGAAAAAATAAATAAAAAATGAAATATACCAGCGACAGAGACTTCCTGATAGAGATGATCTGGGATGACTGGTCAGACTGCTCCTGCTCAGAGAGAACCTGCTTGATCTTCTCTTTCTCTATGGCCACGGTGTTGAAGGCCGACTTCAGGAGAGAGTGGACTGTGGGGAAGCAAGAAAGAAGCAGAAAACTGTTCACAATCGGAGTAAGAAAGCACATCCTCCCTTGAGTTATTCGACATATTAAAAGATGGAAAAGTTTCGCAAAGGTTAAAACTCAATGCGTGCAAGTCTGCAAATGTACAGATTCACATCAAAGCTCATTCAAATTACATTAATTTCGCCATTTTGTTTCACCTTGCAGTAATGAAACTCGCAGACAGTGACATTGTCCGCAGTAAAACAGGACCAAAATGCATACCGGGACAAAGACCTTCATTCTGGAGACAAAATGCAGTCATGCAGATTAAAAAGATGAAGTTATATTGGCGGTTTTACAAAAAAAACTAACTTGGTTGCCACATTAGGTAGAACTGCATCTTCTACTGAGGTCTGTCTCTTTGCTTGTAGATGTTCTTTTGAATTGAGGATTCATGGATTCAAGGATTTTTTTATTGTCATACCACCTTGCTTGTTTGTGGTACGAAATTCAAACTCAGGTCCCAAATTAACTAATTTACTACACAGGAGCCCAATCTGCCTTTACACCGAGGTTCAGAATTAAAACACTTTTCTAACCTGCAGGGATCTTTTTTTAAATTTGCACCTGAGAGCAAAATTCCTAAATCTTTGTTCCCTCAACAAACTACAACACCAATATCATTGCTGCTTTTATTGAATTTCATCAATATTTAATGTGGAATGATCCCAATTTGTGCTGAGCTGCATCTGTGCTTTGACCTTTATTGTGCCATTTGTAGTTTGAAGTGCTTTCCAGACTTGCAGGACAAAATGTTTTATTATAGCAGGTACAGTTGTATTCAGTTACGCACTTGATCGGCCGGAGTGACAATAATTCATCAAAAAGCAATGGAAATGAACAAGCCCTCAGGTGATTCATATCACTCCGAGGTGCATCAGTCAACATGTTCACTGCTTCGAGATGATACATTTTTAAGCAGTAGATTACTGAAATGCAATTATAGCAACAAAAAAAAAGAGCAATGAAATGAAGAGGCATACATTTAGGCGACATGTTATTGTTTTTTTTTAACAAGCTTATGAAGCTAATGATTCATGTTTTCCTAAGCAGACAGGCTGAACCCAGATAATTTAAGTTATATATGTTTAAAGAAGAAGCACAAGTTGTGCAGTCTTGAAATTGAAGAGAGAACAAAATCAGTCACGCAAAAAGACGGCAAGAAAGCTGCTGCTGAAAGAATCAAGACGTTTGACTCAAGCCGAACAGCAAACATGTGGAAGAGGGCGATATTTTCAATCGACAAACATTCACGCAAACATTATGGGTTTATTAGAAACCTACAACATTGTCCCAAACGTGGCACTGTCACCATTATGATGAGTCAGAAGTTGACGGAAGGATTGATGGACCTAACTTGCTGAACTTTGCTTTGACGTATCACATCAAATCGCAACAAAAATAAACTGAAGTTTGTGGTTTTAATGTGAGAAAAAGTGTGGAAAAAGTCAAAGAGATGTAAATGTTGCTTTGCATTGTTTGCATAGGAATACCAATAAAACAAATTAACCGCTCAGCAGCCGCCTGCTTACCTTTCTGGGCAATGGTGCAGAATTCCTCCTGAAGTTTAAAGTAGTCGCTGGCATACTCCACACTGTCTGACAGGCGAGAAACTGGGGGCTGGTAGTCCCCGAGTTCAGCACACAGGTTTGGATTGGAGGAGTGGAGGCGGACAGGCGACATGCTGGCAGACAGAGGAACCTGGAGAGATCACAACCGCAGAGAACTACTGTCAGGAACACCACAGTGCTGCGCTTTTCTTTGTCTTACAATCAGAACCAGCTGCCAAGCCGGAAACCAAATGTTCATCTATTAAACTCAATCTGTTCAATTAATCTGACAAAAATATTTGTTTTTTATGTTTTTTCAGTGGAAGTTAAATCAAAGGAATATTCCTTTGAAAAAAAAAAAAATATTCTGTTTAGTGCGTCTTTTCTAATTATAAAAATCAAAGTGAAAGGTCAAAATAACAGAAATGTTTCGCCATCCTTTAGTTTTTTTTTTTTCTGGAAACATGCAAAAAGGGTTATTTACAGGATTTAACCTTAATTTTAGAGTTGACGTTAGGATTTTATGCAAAAAGTCGAAACCCTATTAGTTGTGTCAGCAAACAGCATATATATTTATACATTAAGCAAAAAAAAAAAAAAACAAAAGGGTGTATCAGCGAAAAGTGTTCAAGCCATGACATACAGGTTCCTGTGAGCGGCAGTGCAGACGAGCTATTTATTTTTATTATGGTGAGATAATTATTTCCTGATTAAAAGGAGAAAAATAAAAGAACAATATTTGGGTGTTAACTGGGTTAAAGTCTCACAATGAATCAGATACTGCGACTTTATGAGACATGATTGTTGTAGCATTTTGAAGCACGAGCTGCTCCTATTTTAGAAAATGCCTTAGACTTCTTCACAACACCCTCTCAGTTTTTGGGCATCCCTGATAAAGATGTGCAAAAAGCATTAAGCCTAACCCACTGATATTGTTTGCTAGTGTGCATGTGTGTTACCTGCAGTTGGAATTTCGCATCTTTGCCGACACTTTTTGTTCTCCATCTTCTGTTCAAGCGCTTTTCTTTCTTTGACAGTTCTACACAATTGGCCTTTGAGGCACATGTGGATCGAGCAGTGCAAAGGGAGGTTAACAGGACAAACACGTCACACAAAAGAAGCAAGAGTTAGCCGGACATAGACTGGAGTGAAATGGCATAAAAGAACAGCTTTTTTTTTTTCTTTTTTTCTTTTTTTAAAAAAAGAAAAAGAAAATTAGGCCGCAAACAAAACGATGGTGTGTTGTTTCATTTGTGAATTTGAGCCAAACACTTATAATACACAACAAATGAATAGATAATGATAGGTTATATGTGCTGGATGTGTCAGGTGACAGTGTAGCATGTGTGTTGCGAAATCTTATACACCTTTTAGTTTGGTTCACAAACTAAATGGATTAAAGCTTAAATACACAGTGGCTGCATACTTTAAATCTCACTCAGACTCTTTTCAGCAACAATCATGAATGCAATTCAATTGTTATAATCTTTTACTGTTGCTGGTTTCATATACTTCGTAAAATAATTCAGTTCACAACCAGTCAAGCGTCGCACGTTAATTTCTTAAACGGTTAACCGCCCACTGACGGCCATTGCCACAGGCATTGTTATTCTGTGTATGCAGCGCTGCAACGCAAAGGTCAGCAGCCACAGTGCAGCTGTGGAGCAACACACATGCCATGCAAATGGTGAGAGAGGAATGAAATGTCGGCAACTAATGGGACACATTTCTCACTCCAGCTAACAAAAGACCTAATCGTCTCCATTTTTACCTGAAGATTCCTCTCTGTCTGTATCTCATATATACACACATAACGCTGCTGGTGAGACGTACACTCATCAAGGGCATGAATAAATATATTTTTTTCAACGTAGAGATTTTAAAGGTGCAAATATTATTCAAAAGCTGAAACTTGGGACACATTTGGGAGTTCCAACAGGACAATGATCATCAGCAGCCATCAAAACTGGTTTTTGCAATTGATATAGCAGGTTTTTCGTAAGTTTTTAAAGGTATTTGTGCCAGGAAACCAAGCAATTTAAATAAGATTTACCTATGTGGATAAGAAGAATGATTATATGCAGCAATAATTATTTAAAGTTTATTTAATATATCACCATTTAACAGGTAAAAACCACAAGATGCTTCAGGAAAAAAAGAACAAAAATACACAAATTAATGAAAATCATAATAAGAGAAAAAAAAACACATCTAAAAATTATATTATTGCTATTTTTTTAGAACCAGTGTGTATGATTTCGACTCTGTGGTTAAGCTTGTCCACCTAATTCTGTTTTTAAAATAGCAGACACTATCTACTGTACAGCTGTTGCACCTTCACAGATAAACAGATTAAGTCTGTCTTTAAAAGCTCAAAATGAACAAGATCTTCATGCCAATGAATAACGTATGCAAACTTCTCACCAGCAGCAAACCTTCCAGTTGAAAAAAAAAAAAAAAAGTTTTAATGAAGTGCTGACTAGAATTTCATCCTCGACACCGCTATGCGTGTGTTTCTGTATTTGCTCTCGGCTGTGCGTTTTACCTGCATATCTGTGAAGTTGGGCGCTGACTGGGTCCTCTGCAGGATCTCCAGGCTCTGCAACAACCGGCTTAACTCGGTCAGGTTAGACTGGCAACGTGCGAGCTCTGGAAATGAAATTCACACCCACCAACTCATTACGTGTTATGGCACAGTCACATCCGAGATTGATTTAATCTACTGTTTTGTAAAATCTACTTTTTTGTGAAATCCCAAATTGTGGCCTTTCGTCTCGCTCACCCTCTGCACACTTGTCCATCTCCTCTGACTCTTGAAGCCAGGCGGCCACCCTGCTCTGACCGTTGCTGTAGGAGGCCTGCAGGCTGCTGTTGCTGCTGCTGCTGGGCGCCGCCGGCTGCCACGGCAAGCTGCTGGACTTGGCCTGCTGAGGTGAGGTGATGACAGACAGGGTCAGACGGGCTGATCTGTCCGAGGCACCGCGTCAGATTCTATTGCACACAAGTTAGGCCAGACCACTGGCTAGCTATGATACCCAGGAAATATTCTGGATAAAAGCAGAAGGGATTCACTTAGAGATTATTTTATAAGAAACAAGTTTAATATTAGATCAACTAAAGCAGTTTTATAAAAACAATGCAGCGAGATGGTGATTAAAATTAGATGTTTTTTTGTTGTTGTTTTTTTTTGGACTAAGAAGAAAAGCTCAGTTTTTCTGTGTAATTGATAACCTTTTAATTTATTTGGCCTAGTAATGAAGCATGTGGGGAAAAAAAATTGTTGGAAACCAGGAAATGAATCAACAAATTAAAATCCGTTTTAGTTTTTCAATTTGCTACTGGGTCGAAATTACATAAATCAGATTCAAAAATGCGTACTATGAATCACTCCACCATTAATCTGTTACAGGAAATACTCTGCACTTTACCGTCCGCCTCTGGTTTTGCCTGCACTTGTGTGCCAACATGACAAAAAAGAGGAAAACATAGGCAGTAAAGAAGGAAGGCAGTTTCCTTCCTCGGAAACAATATTTAAATAATGGGAAATTAAATCCATTTTCTTTCTTCTTTTTTCTCTGGGGAGAACAACCCAGGAAGCCAAACATAAACTAGAAGATGAGCTAAATGCTCTCAGTAGAGAGTTTCTTATGGTCAGACAAGATCAAGTTTGAGCTATTTGGATCAGTGATCGGGAGAGCTGAGGAGAAGCTCTTAAACCTATAGCCGCAGTTCCAAATGTAATACATGGTGGTGACAGCATCATGCTGAGGGCCTGTTTGGCTGCTAGTTGAAACTTGAGACAGAAAATGATGCCACACTCATCGAAACAGGTTTTGGAAAGCATAAACCAGGTTAACACTGAGCTTATGTAGTGCTCAGTGAACTGAATCTTGTTTAAAATGCAAGAATTATGTTTTTAACATGGACTCCACTCATTTTGGCGTCATCAAATATCTTGCAAAGAATCATACAAGAAGCTTGTTGATGGTAACAGTGTGGTCTAGGTGCAACTTGCAAGGGAGCATTTACCTAAATATTACTGCAGGTGTATCTGAGCTTGTATGTAAAAAAAAAAAAATGCTTCAGAATTACTTGTCGAGTTTCCTGCAGAGCACTTAAAACAAAGCAAACAAAACAAACACAACTTTGTGGGAAACAGACGCATCCAAATGAATTTTTGAAGGATTTTAGCAGCAGATTATGTTGGATTGTGGACGTAAGACTTGTTGTGAGCTAACTATTTTTATTGGAGTACGTTAATTTCACTCTTCTGGATGCGAAAGGTCTGTTTTTGTTCAAAAGGGCTCTGTGCTGTCAATTATATGAGACTTCATCCAGTGTATGTCCAGTGAACTGGACGTTATTTTGAATTTCGATGTGGTTTGATAAAACCACTTACTGCTTCTACAGTTATGATTGGCATCCGTCATTTTAATCTCAGGAATCCCAACTTTCCAATGATGTATAATATGTATATGTGCATGGAAAGGGCGTCGCAACACCCCCTCCCCCCCTTCCCCCCCAAAAAAAAAACAAAAAAAAAAAAAAACATATGTCCTACTGATGATCATGAAAACCCCACAATGGAGCATTAATGCTGATGACGAGAACATAAAAACGTATGACTGCTCATCAAAGTTGGATCAATTTTACACAGAACCCATCGGGAAACTGAACACCGACCCTACACTTTGTCCTCAACCAGCACTTCTACAAAAGCTGCTGTAGAAATGAGCTATTATACTGAGCTTGAATAAATGCTGCCACTCTGAACCCGTCTTTGTTCCAGGCTTCCAGCAGTGTTTGATGCAGCAGATAATTCTGACTCCAGGACCGAAGCCTTCCATTTGAGCCAATCTTCAGGGAGAGCTCATCGTGCTGCAGCCGGCTGCTCAGGATCCAAATCCTACTGATCACCTCTAATGGCCTCCATGTGACTCAGCAGCACTCCCAGGAGGAACTGCTCTGGCCCTGTGCTCACATTTACTCACACTTCAAGCGCTCTTACAGAGAATGGGCAACCCGTTTTGTTATCTTAATGGTCTGGATACAGTTTCATGTCTTGCTTTATTATGTTAGGCAGATATATGTCCATAATCCACAGGGTTTCTATGCATTTCCATGTTGAAATTCTGATAGTAATAATAATAATAATAAAAAAACTTCGCAGGGAATTTAAGGCAGAATTTTCTCCAGAGGTCAAGTTTTAAATATGAAACCAGCAAGAATCAAAAAATCGCCTTTGAGGAAAGAAGGATACAACTTATTGACATTAATGATGAACAAAATCTGGAAATAAAAATACTTTCCAGTGTTTATCCAGAACTGGAATGACTTTTGCAAATGATGCAAGTAATTCTCTCGTTGGTTTAGGAATTGTGATGAAGATATCAGAATAATGGCAGTGATTAAACCAAGGAGCCAATTTAGCCCCTGAACAGAACTTCCTCTTTTCACTTTCATCATGTGTTTACATACGTACAAAAAAAAAGAGTAGATAAATGTTAACATGTAAATGTTGTTTCCCCCATATTTTAGTTTTAACAGAGGAATAGAGGAATAGAAGCTCACCTTTGTTTCATTTACTACAATTGGGGAGGGTTGGGGCGTCTCCATGGCAGCCGGAGGAGGAAACGTTCGCATCGTGGGCTCCCGGGGAGAGCGCACTATCTCATTCTGTCGATAGAGTCGGTGGTGGCGCAGCTTCGACACCCAGGCGTCAAAGATGTCTTGAGACTTGACCTGGACAGGAAGCAGATGACCAACGCTGACCTCTGTCACTTACCCAGCTGCTGTTTTTCACCTTGATACAGTGAGTCATCTCGAGTGTTACCTTCAGATGATAAATATGCTCCTCGGTGTCCAGGTCGATGCGACGCGCCCTCTTTTTGATGGACATGACAGAGAGGCCGACGTCGATGCTGCCATGAAGCTTTCCCCTTTGAATCTGTGGACGTTTGGCAAAAACATCCAGGCCTCCTCATAATTTAAACACACCATCAGTATCTCTGACACAGATTTGGGACTCAAAGATTTATCTGAACAGTTCTTTTTATTTAAATGATCATATGAGAGACGACTTCAAAAACAAGCCTGGAGTCAATATGAGATTCATGACCAAGATTAGAGTTGGTCATGAAAAGCATCTTTCGTATTTAGTAAACCATCCTTTTGCTGGTACGACCTGTGGACAACATGACTGACTGCAAAACATCAGCTGGATTCATGAGGAATCTTAACCCATCGTGGTCAAAGGTCTCCAGTTCACTAACGCTCTTTTGTCTTCAATTATATAAAGGCTACAAGGGTTTATTTTTGATTTAAGGGCAACAGAATTGTTCAATAAAGTGCAAAGCGGAAGTCCTTCAGCCCCAATAAAACTTGGACTCTCAGTACCTGCCTGTTACTCAGTGCTCCACGTTTTTTACTGTGCGACAACAGTCTAAAGGGGAAAACAAAAAAGCACATGCCACATCTTGCCCACTGCACTTCGATGGTGACAAAACGTTGATGCTCTTAAGATTTCCAGGCTGCAAGCGCCTTTTTCAAATGCCACGATTTTAAAGATTTCAAGTCAGGGTAAAACTCCCTCCTCTTTATTACCTATTAACACATCTTCTGAAACCAAACCCTTGTGGACTTTGAGATATCCTTTGGATTATTGTTGTCTGAAGGCCTGAACACCCAAGCTTCAGCTTGACATTGGTTTACGATAAGATATTTCTCCCAGGATGTCCTGATGACACCTTCACATGTATCTCGAGTTAGATTCAGGGTCTCTGCCATCTTTTTGTACAGTTTTCCTTGTTTGTGCCAGGCAACGTTCTCTAAACATTTTGGACAGCCATCTTTCCAACATGCAGTAAAATGCAATTATTGAAGCCCTCGATTGGTTACATCACGAGTCCCTGAGAATGCATTCGATCTGTAAATCTGTGTGCAGTGATGAATTCAGGAGGTTGAATCATGAGTGCAGTAATCAGTGAAAGAAAGTTTTAGTGAAAGATTTGGTTATAATCCATGTAATATTAGTTTTATGTCGCTGCTTAAACAGCTCTCGTTTAATTTGCTTACCGCAAAGACTTAAAAGGCTTCAAATGTTGACAATAAACCTAAAGATTTCTAGGAGCAACTGTTTGGACAACACAGCTTATCTTCTTAGTATGTAAAATTTCTGTGGTTTCTGCACGCGTTACATTTTACGTTTTCCTAATAGGTTCATAACAAATGTTGATCGCGGTGTTGCCACTGCAGACACGAGAATCCAAAATGTGTGAGACTAAAATGTTTTTGTCACCATCATGCATCGCGTCTCCACTCTGTCGGACAGTTTTGCTTTTCGTGCAGACGCAACACGCTGCAGATGTCTCAGCTGACTCACTGTCTCTCCTAGCACAGGTCAGGGCCGGGCAGCTCTGTTTCTGCCTGCAGGGACGACGGTCAGGATTACTTACATCAATAGGGGTCTTGGAGTACTTCAGAATGCCGTTGTCCAGAACAAAGAAACGCTGCAGAATAAAAGGAAAAAAAAAAAAAAAACAAGAGTACCAATTTGTTGTTAAATAAGAAGAAAGCCATAAAAATGATAAAGAGAACGACTTCAAAGAAGCGCCCTTTTAATATTCAGCACACAGTTTGGTGATGGATGAATCTGAGAGTGCATTCTCTGTAGAAGAGAAAGCTTTTGTGTCTGGCCTGGCCCCTGGATCGTACCTTGTGCCACCCTTTCAGGGGCCATTTCCTTTTCTTCAACATAAAACCTTCATGTTTGTCGGGCCTCTGGACGTTGCTCTGACCGATTTTCAGTCCCTCGATTATTTCCCAGCTGTCTGCCTCCTGGAAGAGGAAGAAAAATACCACAGCCGTGTCAGAACTAATCCACTCACTCCTCTGGTGTGATACACAAACAGGACACGCGCAGGCTGTAATAAAAAGAAAATATGGCCTTGTCATAGGAAAAACAGGAACACGTGTAGTGCTTCTCTTAAGCCAGCTTTAAAATAACAAAACACAGTCCCCCTGTGCTCTCTCAGCATTTCCACCTCATTAGCTTTCTCCTGACTACGCTCTTTCAGCTCTGAGAGGGTCTGTAAATCAAAATGATGCCTCTGGGGGAGGAACGGTGGGCAGGTCATGCAGGGACAGGTGACATCCAACCTTTGTCCCTCAGGAGGAGACAGGCAGGAGGACAAGGTCACTGATTTGATAGCAGCAATATGACCAGTAACAGAGTAAGAAACATGATCCTGTTTTCTGTCTCTCTGCGGAACCATCAGTTTCACTAAAGAAAATGCTGTTGCTCTTCACGGACTAAAGGAAGAAAATAATTATGGGGGTCGCTGCCAATACATACCTGCAAATTAATGCAGTTAATAGTTTTTATTGGTCAGGATTGGTATCTCTATCGCTGTCATGTAATTTGAAACTTTCAAATATGTATTTCAACAGTACTTCTTTCCAGACATAAATGATGATGCAACAAAATTTCAGTGGATTCAAAAAATACACATTGGACATTTCAGGTTTGAATATATTGTAGTATATTGTAGATTCTGATATTCATGCAAATATACTGCATGCTGCATGCTTTTGTAAGCCAACATCACCGGCCCGGCATATTCCTGTCTTGGCATTTAATCTTTCTACTTATTAAATTTTGGCATAATTAATCTAAATCGGTTGGTTTCCTGACATGAATGATACTCAAGGACAGTTCAGAGGCCTGTGTTCAAGGTTTAACCTCACTGTAAAAAAAAAAAAAAGTCTGTATTTTACCTTAAATTAAAGACATTTTTGTTCTCCCAGTGTTTCTAGTTGGTGGTTTGAGTTGACGCAATGGATTTTGGAGACAGCTTGAAAGTGTTGATTTCGGAGCAGGGAAATCTTCCTTGATTGTCACTCCCCGAGACCATGCTGACATTAAACTGTTTCCACAATAAGTTGCCGTATCACCATCTAGTCATTGAACCTGGTGGTTCATGACATGTTCCTGAAAATGTGACCCAGGTCAGTTTCAGCAGAGGTAGCGCTTTGCTGGTACAACGATCCGAAACACATTACATTTGGTTCTGGAATGGATAAAGTAAGATTAAGTTGCCGGAATGGCCCAAACCTCAACGCTTTTAAAAATGTATGGACTCTGCTTAGAAGCCGGGTCAGTGCCAAGAAATCGTCCAACGTAAATGAGCCCGACCGATTCTGGTAAGAGTTGTTTAGTATCCAGTCTGTGTTTGGCTCTCTGCAATTTACTAAGGCACATTTAACCAAACATGAGAGTATGTATGCACATTTTTGAGTTTGTATGTATATTTCTGATCCTGTGTGAATTAGAGCGTCAGCAGTAAATTCACAACCTGTTTCTAAAAATGAATTAGAAACAACTGTTTGAAATTAGGGTTCCACGATATTAGAAAAAGACGCATCCGACGTGACGTTAATATTGAAAATCAAATAGTGAATTAATCAGTCTGCTCTCTTTTCAGCCATCATAATGTGTTAACACCTTTCTGTCAGCGATGGCATCTACAGTCGCTAAAATATATATCAATTATGTCTATAGCAAGCAGTCAAACTCCATGCAACTGGCCAAATAAACTATTGACAAGCAGAACACGAATGCATGATGCTAGAAAAATGTTAGCCTTTTAGATACTGCACTCAAGCACTTCTTTAAATTTGCAGTATTGCACATATTGATATCTCTGTAACAGCTGAAAATCAATTTATTTGTGCAATTTTACACAGGGGGTAAACATTACATACTAAAGAGAACTGGTCTAAGCATGGAGCCCTAAACACAAGAAAGCAGAGTAACAGTTCCTTGTCACGGCTTGTGGCTGAGACAGATGACCTGATAAAATTAACAAAGTACAGAAAAATGTAAGACACATTAAATGTCAAAGTGAATATTGTGATTAATAATGTACGTACTGTATTAAAAACCAAGTAATCAATGACCTTTTAAAGGATCTGAAGGCAAAAAAAAAAAAAAAAATCACACCAGAAGATGCAAATGAAGGAAAATTATAAAAGCAAATTGTTTTATTTTAGGTCAGCTTTAGCCAAATTGATCAAATCTTTAAATAAGATGCACTTAATGCATTTGATTAGATTTTGAATTCGACACTTGGATCAACAGCATTGCAGCTTCTGAAACAAAAAAGTCAACTTAGTATGCACAAGCTTCACTTCTCGAGCAACAAACAGCCTGTGGCTTCTCGCTGCACCATGTGACGCTACAACCTTCAAGATGTCTCGCCAGGCGTGCATGATGACACCTACCCTTGGTTTGCAGGACATTTAACAAAGGAGGACAACAGCTTGCTTAATCTAACAAGTCGGCAAACAGATCTGGGTGGTAATGAGGTCATATTCCTCCACTCACTGCGGGGGCAAATGCCTTGTGAAAATGGGGAAGTGGAGGACATGAAAATATACACCACCGCTACAAGTCAGCTGTTACCTGCAAAAAAGGTTATACTGCAATGCCTCTTCATTTAACACACAACAGCTGCAGCTTACTGTATACACGTAATGCCGTATAGGGCGACAATGAAACATTTGTCATGGAGGAAAGCCTCAGGCAAACTTCCCGTCTGTTATCAGACTTTTAAATGAGTCTGAACTGATAAATCAATGGTACACTATATAAAGAATTGCTTGTGTTGCAAATATTTAAATACACTGCCCTTCCCAAACCATTAAAAAGATCCACGGCACCGACTCCACGTAAATACCAAGGCACATGCTGACTACTGGCTTACATGGAAATGGGGCCCACAATAAGAGTTGCTGCTTTTGGTAGCGCAGCCCACAGAACTGAACTGAATTAAGCCAAAGTGATTTCCTGCACTCTGCCTCCGTTCATTGATCTCGCTGCAGAATAATTTACAGCTGAATGAGCTGGTCCCTCTTGGCAAGTTTACTCCTTTATTGGAGAATTTTTTGTGGCAGATTCCGTAAGAGGCCTCCTGCTTTTCAAAGTCAAGATCCTTAAGGAGATTAGCCTCACAAATTTGCTTGTTCACAGTCAGCAAATTTACGTACGTCTTCTTGACAAATTAGATATTCGAATCCCGAAAAACGGCTTCGTTCGAACCAGAAATTACACTGGGTAAAGGCGATAATCAGCTTAGTCAACGTACTCAATCTAGACGAGCCTTTTTCATGAGACAGGCCCTCAGAGTTTCACCGATGGCACACAGCCACAGCAGACCTTTGATGCAATGAATCAAACTGTTGCAGTTAAGGTTTCACTGAGCAGAGAAAAGGACAAACACTCTTTGGGGAGACCTCAGGCTAAATCAGCCCTATAAATATCAGTGCCACAGTCTGCTTCTGGAGACCACATTATGTCTCGGGCATAGACAGTGACGCACAAGCACAGTCTGTCAGTCAGTTTTTCCTAACATGTCGTGTGCATGCGCTCTAAGAAATATGATCTTTGATAAATGACTTGCTTGCCACAGTGAAAAAAAGCGATTAATGAATTACATGAGGCATTGACACCTTTAAATAGTTGTTTTTTTTTGTTTTTTTTCTAGAACAAGGAGCTTGGATAATTCGGCTTTGCGTTTTAAAAAGACTATATTTAATTTAGGCATATTTGAATTCAGCCCCGCCTCGTAATCCTCAACAACACCTTGTCTGCTGTGGATCACGTCACACACAGGCAGAATTCGGAAGAAAGACCAGCAGAAATCGTACTTTCTGCAGCAACTCGAGAAGTACAACGTTCCAAAGGTACTCCACTGGCCCTATTCGGTCTGTCCTCTCCATATCTGTGTGTGTGTGTCTGATTCAAGACAAGTCCATGACTTGTTCAGGAAGTGGCATCTAGGAATATTGTGCACAAATTAAATTCAAATTCAAAAACTGTGGTCCATGCTACAGTAAAAAACAATTATTTCTCAACAGAACAAGCATGCTCATATGTGGCACTCCTGTCCAAAAATTGGACAGTAGTTTTAAACTCCATAGTAGCAACCAAAAACTACAAATTCCATCACTTGCATAACAAAACAGAACCTGTAAAAAAAAAAAAAAAAAAAAAAAAAAAAAACTTGCACCCTATTCACGCCTCACACACCAACACAATCGCCAGTGAAAGATGATATCTCAGCAGCTACAAACCACATAGCAGTTGTTTTTGAGGGTGTATTTTCCCGCAGTATTTGGCTGGCTCAGCAGTAAAGCTTAGAGTAAGAGGCCTGGCTTCCACACAGAGAGGATGTGGACATCCTGAGAGAAGCACAGGCCTGCACACAGCGTAAACACACCAGATTCAGTTACACAAGTTTAAACGTATCGTCTGATGACTCGTAGGCTGGTGCAGCTCTGAGAAATATTCCCAGTATCTTTTTCCATTTGAAAAGAAAGCACTTTCTACCAAACTAGTGTAGCGAACATACAGATAGATTTAAAAAAAAAAAGAAAAAAAAAATCTGTTTATTGTCCTGATGCCTCCAAGCAAGATGTTTTAATGGTGCATTTCAGGAATTTTGGACCTAGGAATGTCTGTGTACTAGATGCATGTCCATGCGTTTGTGTGAAACTGCGCTTACTGCAGGTGGAGCACCTAATTGCTCCCACGAGGGCGTGAACAGCAGCCATCAGCAGCCGGTATGTTGACATGTATCGATTCAAGAATGAGGTCAGGATCCCATTAAGGCTTTCCCCAAACAAGAATGCATTGCTTTTGTTTTTCCACAAAAATCACTGAAGCCCAACAAAACAAAGGTCATTGGTGGAGCATCTAAAGCCATAAGAAAGGCCAACATAAAATTACAAAGCAGATGATATTTTGTATGGAATGCATAAAGTCAGAAAAAGATTATCCGTAGCTTCACACATAATGGATATACATGACATTCGCCATCAAAGCTCAAATGTAGCTTTATTTTCCTGATGCTGAAGCTAATATGAGCAGAAGGTTCAGAATGTGCTTGGGAAAAAAAAAAAAAGTGAAAACTGAATGAGCTCATCGTGAAGTTTTGTTGCAATTTCAGTTCTGCACAGACAGCTCAATTAACCTCACCACTTCAAATGTAACAAGGGTAGGCTCACTTACGCCGTCAATGTTTTAAATGTGAGGTACGACGATGTGGGTTTCTAGCAGATGAAACTCCTGCTTCAGATGAGAACGTCTCATTCACTTATTTCTCTCTTGCTCCTTTTCTCTGATTTATCAAGTGTGAGAGAACAGTCTGTGTGAGGGCCACGGGTCCCCTCACATACCCACCCAGTGAAACGGGAAGCGTGATGACCCACCACAAGAAACTACCGCTTACGTTGGTTTTAAGCACAAAGGCCTTCTAGCTCTACTTCTCTGATAACTCATACAGTAGGAAGTAATGTGTGGCAGATCACAGACAACAGCATACATGAAACAACCAATCACAGCCCAGCGTCCCAGCTGCAACACATTCCCAATCCTCCCTACAATAGATTTTATGACGACACAAATAATCTAGACCTACTGACTTAAATTATTTATATTTTATCTATTCATTTTATGACATGCAATTGTTATTCTATGAAGTATTTCCCTAAAACTAATTTAATATGCATAATGTATGTTAAGGTATGTTTTTTTTTCATCCTTTGGTTCTTCCTTTTTCCTTCCTTTGACTTCTTGAAGGTCTTGTTATTTTTACTAAATAAATTAAGAAGGGAATTTCTATTGTGGAATGTTAATGTTTATTGAGACACAACGCCAGCAGTACAGCAGGCCAGTTGTGTAATTGTGTAATCCATTGCCAAGTCTGATCGTTTGTCTCTTTATTTTGTAGTGTTTGGGACATCCAGTCATTGCAGTCTCTAAATGAACTAATGTTAAACTAATCATATCCTCATTTCAAGAGTTTAGCCTGTATTATTATGAACATCTGCTCTTTGTCTCCCCCTAATTTTTATCTGCAACTGATTTGGCAGCTTCCCACAAGTCAGATTTCCCCAAGACTTGGGATGGGGGAAAAAAAAAAAAAAGACCAATGTTTTAATTTTAAGATGACTGTTTTCAGAGAGGGAAGCTCTGCAGAGCAGCAAATCCTTTTTCTTTCTTTGGTAAGATTTGTCAAGTAAAACCCAAACACACAGGATCCAAAAAGAGAATGCAGCTTCATAGACGGTCTGCAAACCATCAAATTTCATTCAAGATTCTGATCCAACGGCTACAAAAGCATTACAATAGTTCAATAGAAGAGAATGGTTTTTCTTTTGTTGTTTTTTTTTTTAATTCTTTTTCAGCTTCCAGCTTGTCTAGTATCTGACTTCATCAATTAGGCTACTTTGGACAGGCTCTATGTAAACCTGGAAATGCGGAGAACCTTTTCATCAAAAGGTTGCAGCCAAGAAAGGGATAATGAGCTGGAGCGTCTGAATGGGTAACTGTCTGCTTCATCAAGCCGCAGGCTTTCAGCTAACTGTCCCAATTCCTCAGATCGGCTTTCTTTCTTCTGCTCTTGCGCAGACAAAACTGGCCGTCCACACCGGGCCTTGCAGAATGTGCCACATGTTCAGTGGGGCACCGAGCCTTCGCCTGTCTCTCATGAAATATTCACCAGCCAGTGCCGACGGAAAAGCAGTGATGTCAGAGATTCCAGTATGGGTGTCTCGTTTCCGTGCGGCCACAGTGACACAGCAGCTCCGAGAGGAGAGGAAGGACGGCCGGGGGCTTCGGATGACTTAACCCAGGGGTTAAGTTTGAGACACTGTTCTGTGAACTGTGACATAAGAGCGCAGCTCATTTGGTAGTCACTGCTCTTTCTCTGCTGATTAGTCTGCTAACTAGCACATATCTTGCAAAGGTTGGGCAGCAGGTTTATCTAATTGTGTTTAACCTTTCACGAGGAATGAATGCATAATGCTTAGCTGTTATGGTAACATCCATCTGTGTTTGTCGCATCTTGCTATTTCAGCATATGGCTGACTAATGATTAAAGGGAATTCTGGCACATATGAATACGCCTGCAGAAATGTCTGCATAGCTGCTTCTTTTACCTATGTATTTATTTGCCTTGGCTATGATTTCAATGTTTCAAAGTACTCGTGTAGAAACTGAAATTTATTTTAAGTTAAATTTTGCTCTTAAATTTGGGTGGGGGATTCAAACACTTAAATTTGTTCAACCATTCTACTGTAGCACCACTTTCTATAGCTTTTCTTAAAGGACTCCCCTTTAATTATCTCCATCCATCTTTCCATCAACTCTTCTTAGTTTGTCTTTTTCTGATATAGAAAAAAAAAAAATCCCAACTGCATGATGCTCCAATGGGCAGGTCTTCAGTTCAGCTTTGGTCTCATCTGTCGGCTAAACCTTCTTAAATGAACTCTGCACTTTTTAGATTTACAAACAGAATATGTAAAAAAACGAAATTGAAAAAAAAGTTTGTTTTGACGTGGCAAAACGTGAAACAGATAATTATTGATGTGAATACTTTTGCATAGCAACATGTTTTGGTCATAATTTACTATTTCCTTGATCCTTACTGACAGAGTCCCCCCAACATCCAAAGTACTCCAACATTCACTCCTGAGAATTTCATCGTTGCTCCAGCTTCACTCCCAGGAACCTGCTGAAGTTAGAAGATCCGTTACCTGCCGGCTGTCTCGCTGGGACGAGGAAGAGGAGGAGGCGCTCTTTTGAACCGGCACCGAGGTCTTGTTCACTGGCGTGGAGCTCCTCTCCTCGGTGCTCATGGTGCGGCCGTGGGGGCCTCGCTGGTACTGATGGTGCAGAGACATGCTGGCCACCGGTCAGCCCTGCGGAGCTTCCTCAGCACTGGGGCCCACAGGTCGGGCACATCCTCTGAGACGTCCTCACACTCACAGCCTGCTGCTCATCTGAAACACAAGGATCAGGGAGTCATATTCCACTCGCTCAACCCGCGCTGCAATGCAGAAGTGATTTTATAAAAAGAGTTTTAGAATTACCACATCTGAACGGCTCCGAGCCTCCTTTAATTCAGCGTGTTAATCTGAGAAACTGACTGACCCTCAGCATTTCTTTGAAGCCTGGCTTCCTCTTCTTCTTCTTCTTCGCACTTGTGTTGAGTGACTGGGGAAAGCTTATCCACTATGCTGTGAAATTACTGCCACTAAGGATTACTCAGCATGCGTTAAGCCGAGATATGATCATCAAAAAGCTCAACTGATCACTCTCTTTTATTATCAGTCAGTATTACTAATTGTTGTCCTAATTAACAATTTGGACTGTCAAGGATAAAAAATATAATCTCTTTCATTTCATCAAGAAAGGTTTTTCAGTTCAAAAGTGAACTGATAATCCCCAAGGAATATTTTTTGCAACTTTTTCATACATAAACATTTATCCTGTTTGGCCTGCACTGTTAGCCCTATTTCAAGTCAAATAGTTGCTCGTACTGTCGATATGAAAAGGCAAAGTATTTATATTAACTGTTTTTTACAACTTTACTTTTTTTGCCATTGTTTTCAACGTTATGGCCAAAGAGGTAGTGAGAAAAAGTATTATTTTATACAGTGTTGTACGTAAAAGAAAAAGATAAAAACTTAATTGTCCATAAAAATTGAAATTTGCATTACATCATCTGTAAGATGCCCCCCATAAAAATAACACGAATCAAGCAACATCATAAACATTCACGGCAGTTTAAAAAGAAAACTAATACGTGATCGGCAATAAAGTGTTCATTTATTCTTTTTCTGGTTCAGTAGTTTGATGGTGTTTGATGTCGTATTAAAATTCTGCTGTCCAAGCTGAACCGCTCATTAGTTAGTCTTATTTAGACCTGAGTCACTTTAATCCATTTTCTGAGTCAGGGATCTAACAGTGTGTACTGGGTCAAACCCATCCTGTTTATCAATCAACCCAGGACTGGATCATTACATTTGACCCGAAATGTAATGATCCAAAATGACCTGCATTGTTATTTTTAGCAGGTTTTAGGTCAGTGGTGTTCAAAGTGAAGAAAGGTATATGATTTCTGAAAGTTTTGTTGGTTAATCTCAACAACCAGAAAAGGACATGGAGTCACAATTTAGCATAAATTACAGATCCATTTTCTACAAAATGAGATCAATTTGTTTCATTGATTAAACAAAAAAACACAACAAAAATGTTTTTACGTTTTTATTTTAACATCTAGTTTTTCCCAAAGTTAAAATATTTAACACCGGTAAACATTAATATCAATTATTTTTTAAAATTTTGATAAATTACATTTCTACGCATTTTGGAGGGTTTCCGTATACAAAACCGATGGCTATTTGGATTCTGCAACAGAATGTGAAGTGAACTCCATTGTGCAGCTCGCATTATTCACAACCTTACTAAAAAGCAGCAAGTGCTAAAAAAAACTCATTAATGAACAAAAAAAAACACACCACATTTATCTATTAATCGCAATTGATTGTGTGATAATTAGTCGTGAGCCAAAATTTAATGATTGTAAAAGCTGTAGTTACATTGAGAACATAATTACCACTTCAGCGTGTTATTGACGTGATTATTAAGACCATTTAAGTTAACGATAAACCCTTTAAACATTTAATTAGATTGGAATATTTAAGAGAAAATACCAAACGAATAAGGACGTTAAACAACGCGCTGTAAGGCAGAGGCCTACCCAGAGCTCACAGGCAACCGACATCGATAACCTTTCAAACCTAAATGTGCTAAATGTGAGGTAATCTCCTGAAATAATTGTATCAGTTAACTTCAAAACATCTGGTTAAACACCGGCTCGGCTAGCAGCGGGGAGTGCCCGTTTTCATCATTAGTCATGGCACATGCTGACATCCATAACACTGCCTGCAGGGCTGCTGTGTAATTGCCTGAACTCTTGGCAACTCCACATGTACCTATTGAAAAACAAAAAGCACACATTTAAACCACCCCCTTTCTTTTCCTACAGAAAAGATTAAATATAATCACATTTGGTCTTTTAATTTAGAAAAATAGTACGCCTTTCTGTCACTGAATGATTATCAGGGTGCAGCACAGACATCTTCAGAAATAATATCTATTATTAGACTGGCTTTATCCACTGCACATTATAGTTATTGCTCAGATATGTACATATTTTTGTTCTTCATTTTGCTGCAACATGAAGCTAAAGACATATTCCAAAGTGTTTCCACTGATAGCTGTACTGTGTGTCAAACTAATAGGCAGTGATGAGTCTTGTCATCAGCAGCCTGTGTTCATCCAGTGGACAGATACTGGTGTACGCCGCTTCAGAGCACCCTGTGGTTTTAACTGCAGGATGTTTTGGTTAGGCTCTCCCGTGTGTGAGGAACCTCCCCTGAGTCCGCTCAGCAGCACTGAGCATGCTCACATGCGACTGTGCAGCTTTCTCATGCACTATAATCTATAATTCAGCTCCTGCGATAGCGTCATCATCCCCACTCTGCCTTGTCTTAAGCCAGCCAGGGTGTAAGCCACTGTAAGACAAGGCGCTAAGTCGGTTCACACAATGCGTTGCACTCTCAGCCTATTTAACACATCCGCTCTCCTTGACCTAGTAAGAAGCAGAAGTGGCATGTGCTTTCAATGTAAATGTCACTCTTCCGATGCATTATTAATCACAGTAAGTACAACCTATAGTTTGCAAGCAAAAATCAGTGTGTACTGTCAGTAAACGTTAATGACATTTAAGTTATGGCCACACGTCTTTCAGGATATGAAAAACAAAACTGGATGTGAAGCGACTGCAGCAACAGTGAAGTGAAAATACAATCAGACTATTTGTTTTCACTTCGGTTTTTCACTTTTAATGAACATTTCTAGGCTGAGGATTGACATATGCAAACCCTCTTTGTGACAATAATTTCAAACAGCCACTAATGATTAAAAAAAAAAAAGTAAACTGGAAAATGAAAGTGTTCGGTAAAAGTGTTGTTTTATTGCCACTTTATGAGGCAAACTAAAACAAACTTGTGCATAACTGAGCACTGGAAAGAAGAGGTGCCTTGTGTTCACAGCTTTTTCACACGTTGAGACGACCCCTGCTGAACCGATTGCTGTTATATGGACTTTCTCAGTTAATTAAAACGTGACGACCAACTAACCTCCCTCTGCTCTGCTCCGTAGGTTTGCACCACACCATACAATCTCCTCTAATGCAACACTTACATCACTGATCTGACTGATCTTCCCAGCACCGCACAACTTTAGCTTTTACTGTCGTTTGTGTTATATAAATCTATATATATATGACCTGTTATATGTGATGTGTCTCCCTATTTAACAACATGAAAAACAGAAAAGGGTGCATTCAGCCCCCTTACTCTTTTAACCATAGTTCAATCAGTGCTTTTTAATGCACATTTTGAAGTATTGTGTTAGATACTAATGCAACATCATTTTCCAGTACCGTTTACTGAAAATTCAAAATAACATCCTGAATTTCGCAAACAAAAGAAAAAATCATTTTTAAGCTTGCATGAGCCACTTTTTGGATTTAAAAAGGGGAGACGGACATATATCTGGTGAATAATGTGTTAGCCAAGGCTCCCATTCACATCTTTGTCTTTGCCTTACCAGAGGCATGAAAGTCCAAACTTAATTACCATTTTCTTTTTGTGCTATTTTAAAAGTTTGATGAAAATTGGATGGAAACTGTTATGTGCACTTGCTTAGTGTAGCTAGTGACACACTAAACAGGTTTAGCCAACATGGAAGGGATTCCACTTTGGTCATTTTGGTCTACATGAATGTGCATCGAAAAACGAACACTGTGCATGACCCTGAACATAGCAAGCCTACAGAAAACGTGTTTGTGGGGACACTTTTTTTTGTCAGGGAAGTTGCTCAGAGGCGTTGGGACGATAGATGGAGCTGCTAAACTCGTTAAACTCGTTGCCATCCAGGAGGGATACATGGTAGACGCTGCAAAAGACTTGAGGACATATGGAAGTTCTCCATCTCTCAGAACAGTTATCTAAACGGAGTCCAAACCTAAATCCAATTGAAAATCTTTATTAAGACAGAAAAATTGATGTACAAAGGCATTCTCCACCCAATTTGACTCCATCTAGAGCTGTTTTGTTTTCTTCTGTTGCAAAAATTATAAACTGAGGTTTTTGTGATCAAATGTGAAAACGTTAAAGGGACTTGACTACCTTTGCAAAGCACCGTACTTCAAGCCAATTTCTGGTTTAGCCTCAAATAGATATTCAGTTTTATTTACTGTAAATAGCAACATCACATGCTGAAGCTAATAAAATAAAACCTTTGTCATAAATTTGACAAGACGCCAAAGCTGCTCCATCCTCTGAAAGTTATGGTGGTGCCGGGAAGAGTCCGATCAGGACAGAATGAGTCATGAGCTTATTGTTCTAAATCCAGTCCTCATGAATATGGTCCACTCAGAATGAAGACAAGGCAGGTTGAATGAGTCAGCTATAAAAGCACCGCTAAACCACTTAGCTGAAACTTGAACATCTCTACGCCGACTGATTTTTGCAAGTTCATTTGGACGTCTCTGATTTTTAACACACCCAACTTTTGTACATTGTCCTGAAAAGGAAGAAAAAGCTTTCAAACTAGAAGAACATTGGCTCGCTTTTTATTGATTTTTAATGTTTTCAAGAGCTTTGTGTGAAGCTGACGTTTGCTGCATTTACAGCCATTGTTCTCCAATCAATAGTACTTATTCTGGTTGAAGATGAATGAGCGTCTGCTTGATGCAAGAGATGTCTTCCATGTGTGAAGATAATGACTGAACAGAAGTAAACGGTGTGCAAATCTCACAACAACATCCAGTCAGTTTACTGCCTAAACTCATTTCAGGAGCCAAATTTGGGTTAACAATGCAAATTAGAAATTGTAGGATTTAGGGTGATGTTACACCACTTGTTTAAAGCACCTAGCAATAGCATGTAACAGTATGAGGAAGTGATCCTTTGTGTTTGCATTTTCCAAAACACCTAAAGGTTGCAATGAGATTTTATAGACAAAAATGTCCTCAGAAACCAATGAAATGGTTCTTCTTCCACCAGATATGAACAACTGCGTTTCAGTCGGCTAGAGGTTTAATTGGGCTTCAATTCAATCTAATAACTTAATGTGATGTAGCTGCTCCTTCCTAAGGAAACAGGATGGATATAATAACTTAACTGTTGTTAACAGTGTTTATCTGTGCGTTCGCCCTCATGTTAGTGGAGCAAGACTTCCTGAGAGAAAGCGAGGAAGTGAAGTATTTTAAAACGAATGAGTCTTCTTGCAAAAGTGGGTGTGTATTGCATCAAACATGAAGGCAGGCAATACAGTACAGGACAAAGTAGAAAAGTGGGTCTGGCAATCTGATGTGATAGATTGGTGGGTTACAGGTACCAAGAACCTGGTTTCAATTTATTTTTACAGCTGTGACACATTTTCGTTTATTTCTGAACTTAATATGTCAGTCATTTAGTCTCCAAAGGTGGAACTATTTAAAAACAACTAGTGATGCATGAATTGACATATCAATATCAGGTATTAATATTGCTGGTATTAAGTACATATCATCTATACATTTCTCTACTCTTTCGACATTGTAAAAAAAAGACCACACTGCTCACCTTCCTTCTCTGCTTTAGTCAAACACCCCACAATCCTGCATTGCGTCTCTATCACTGTCGCACGACCAAAAACATACCACATGCCCAACCCTAACAGTATTTCAACTATGCATTGATCTGCAATGCAACATTTACCATTTCCCAGTTGCTAATGATTACGTGCGCTGGGAATGTAGCTCGATGTATCCCTGGACGCCCCAGCCATCAGTTGTCATGGCGATAGTTTCTGCCTCCTTTAGGGTCTGAACATCTTGCGATGCTCCACATCATACCTCTGTTGCTTGTTAAATGCAACATGAACACTGATGGCATTACTCATTACCAACATGTAACATGAAGACGCTCAGTGGTAACTCAGCTGCGATGGGAGTAGAATGACAGGCGTCCCTGTGTTTTCATCACATACAAGAAACACAACCTCCCAGTATTGACCAGAGCTCCAAAGTGAAACAAGTTTGCTGGTCCCACACTCTGTTGTATAATTAAAGTGGGCCAACAAAAGCAGCCTCGTGTCCTTATATTATATTACAGGGTATTAAAGGACAAGCCCTGTCTGACTTTACAACTGGCTAATAATACAAATCAATTGATTCTGACCTTTTACCTAAGTGTAGGATATTAGACTAAATAGATGTAGATTTTGTGTGACGTTTACTAGCAGTGATCAGCACATCTCTTTAAACTAGGCTTCCTTTTTTTTTTCTTTAAAACAGCACCAGCTGGACAGAGCCAGTTTGTCCCGGGCTGCACATATTACATCATCGAGGTAGAGCAAGGCATAACACATCGAAAGGCTTTTAAGGTACTACCTTATTTGTTCCCAACATAATAATAAAAAATGGGGAAAAAAAGGAGTTTGCATCTCATTTAAGGAATCATGTTAACAATTTTAGGTTCCACACTTTATAGTAGGACATGAAAAACCTGTCATACTTTTCAATTATAGGGTAAATATTAAAAAAACTAGATCCTATCTACCCTACATAGATGTTAATTAAATGGCAACGAGATGTGGCATCATTTTGCAATTCCTTGCAATTCCCTACTTCTTCTACGTAGAAAGAGACTCATACTGACCATAAGTCACTTTGTTAGTCAAATTTACCATTCCTAAAGTCCATCTCCATGAAGCAGAGTTGAAGAAACTGTTCATAACATACTTGTTGCACACTGCCAGTTAGCTGACTGAAAGGAGATGGCTACGTTTTATGCAAAGACTAATTCGGCTGTGATAACACAGATAGTTAAAGAAATTAAAGGAGCTTAACCAACCACTTTAATCTAGTTAACACTATTCTAAAATTACAGGTAGGAAGATAAAAACTGGTGATGAATCTATTTTGATTTAAATCCACATGTTATCAACAACTGACTATAAAACTGTAGCATTTTTTTCTCAAGGTCGTCACATTTTCATGCTGGTTCATAGTTTAAATTGAGGAGGTATGGTTATGCAACTGCAGCAATTACACTCCACCTACAGGAGACCCTTAGATGAAATTGGTTTTGACCAGGGGTCATAATCTGTCATATTCATAACAAGCTGCTTGCAATAGAAGAAACATCCAATTCTGATGCTGTTACTGAGTATTACAGCGACAGTCCAGGTTTCAGCCTCCCATCATCACAATATCTACTCCACAGGTTCAACATCTCAGTCACTAAATCACATTTCAGATGCATCAAGAGCATCGAAAGCTCATCCAGCTGGCAAAATATATTACTGGCAAGTAGTGTGAATGCATGGCACTTTAAATATAATATCCAACCACAAATGCATCTTAGCAGTCCTGAACAAATGCAACCGCAAACACATTGATATTGTGATTTGATATATAATGCAGATCGGCACTGGGCCACAAGCAGACTGACCCAAAATGGGTATCAGAATCAAAACTACACAAACTGGGTGTAATGTAGGGATGGAGGTGTGGAATTAGAGTTGTATCACAATCATTTTATTCATTTATTTTGATACTTATAGAAGTGATGATAAAAGTTTTAAACATTATTTAGCATCAATAGTATCTTTTGGCAATCTTCTGTCACGGCATACGCCTGCCATACTTTCAAATGCTGACATTTACCAATTCTCTAATGTAACAAACAGCAGAAAAAAAATTGGGGGTGGGAGAGGGACTTCCACCCATCATAAATTGGAGTTTATTGGAATCAAGTTGGAATTATTATCACATTCATTAGTTTTCCCACTAAAAAACAATATTCCCACTCCCTCAAACTGACCTACACCCCAACTGGATGACTGTTGGGGTGTAGATCATTACTCCCTCATTTGAGTAACATGTTGTAATTGGTATGGTTGGGTTACAAGAATCAAAGTGTACCAAGGTTTTAAAAAGTGACATTTTCAGAATGGCTAAAATGATCTATCAAACTGATCATCTGGTTTAAACTCCTATTAGTAGAAGCCAGCTGACACTGTTGGTCAGCTGGCTGAAAGAAGGCTCCTACATTAATCCCACGCTTATAAGAAATATCCGTCTGTCTCATAGGAAAATATGTAAGGTCTCAAACAACATACACAGACATTTGGCTGGAAATGAACAGAGCACCACCCACCACAGTCAGCACTATGTAGCTAGTTAAACAGCTGAAAACATCCTATTATAATATAAAATGAAATGAATAAATAAATGTTATAGATAGCTGCAACCGGTATGTTGCATACTTGTAGCAGGAGAAGCACCGATTGCTGGTTATTCTCCTGTGATGTTATTGAAAATAACATAACTTTCTACATTTTGTTCAACTTTTTCATGTAAATACAGCAGTGATTTTAATCAAGGTTATCATACTGTAAGATTCTCCCTATAATATAGATCTATGACTGTCTTATAGGCATGGAGGTAGCAGTCTAAACGGCATGGGAACACTTTCAGCTGGATGATTCCTCAGCAAGGGCTCAGTAATACATCAGAGACTCAATAATCAATGCAGATCAAAGCAGGATCCATTCAAAGGGAATGCTAGTTACAAACTACACAGAGCTTTTCATACCTCTCCTATCTTCTTGCATTTCTGTGGCTCATGACTAACTGCAGTGTCACTGGCTGACCTTCAGTTAAAAAAGGAGGCTGAGTGATAGTGTGGGATGAAACTTTTTTAAATTAGCTGCCATACAAACACCAAGCAACAGATTGAGTGGGGCTTTTTTGGGGGTGGCTATAATAATGGAAAATAATCATCTTTGCTGATTCATTAATAGTTGTGGAACGTGTGTGGGAAATAAAACACAGGACTCGGTTAAAAAAAAGGGGGTGAATATAAGAGTGACGCATCATCATTACATCATCAAAGTCATCAGTTGGTTGGTCGGCTGGTTACTCCAACATACAGCATCCATGTTTTTATGGATCCTTGATCGTGATGTTTGGATACATACTGCAGGAGTTGTAGCATCCCAGCAGCTGGCTATGTGGTCATGTCTGACCGGTCCGCGCTGATTCACTCAGGATGCAAATACAGAAGGATGAGGAGCTGTGCTCTCAGTCTGAGTGGCTAAATGGAGCACTAAAGCAGCAGCTCTTCATCACAATACCCGATGAAACTGTCACAAACCAACCAAACACAAGCAGTGCTGGTATTTAGGTTGCCACGGATCAGAGAGAAAAGCTTAGTGCCTTACCACAGATGCGCTGTGATGACCATGTCTTTACAGTTCTTGGCGCAGGAAACAATTGAGGGGGTCTTCCTTGACTGGGCAGAGATTCCCCGCTCCTCAGAGACAAAACCTGCTCACACCGGCCTCTCTGCGTGCATACCACACTTTTTTCACATCATAAAGCTCTCGTGCTTTACGGAAGCCAGAAACATTGTGGGAAGTCTAGAGAGAGAGAGAAAAAAGTGCTGTGTTAGTCCGTTTCCTTGAATGCGGGGCTGTGATGCTCAGCTCATCTCTCAACTGCACCCCGGTCGCTCCTCCCTGCAGCAAGATCGGCTTTAGGCGGGAAGAAATGCCCGGAGTGGATCGAACGCAGCCGGGCAGCGAGCGAGCACGAAAACACGGAGGTGGAGTCGTGAAAAAACTCGGATTGGGAGGAGGTAAGTTTTGTGAGGGGAAAAAAGTGGGGTCAGCGTCAGGCTGTTGAAATTTAACAAATTAAACTTCTGAAGCAGTTGCATTGAAATACTTTGGCTTGATTTTATTATTGGGCTGCATGGTGGCTTTATTGGTGAAAAAGATTTTTGGACTTTGTTGCAGCCAGTAGGCATCGGTCATGAAGGTGCTTGTACATTTTAAGCTCAAGCAACAACAACAAAAAAAAGTTCAGGAACTTGTAACGAAAAGAGATTATGCACAGACTAAAAATGGTGTGATGACTGAAATCTGAAGCAATTTGGTCAGAAGCCTGGCATTAGCAATATGAACCTTCTGCACATGGCATGCAGCTCAAGCAGATCATAACAATAATGCAGCCTTATCCATGAATATCTTTGAGATAGTTTAGTTTATAACCAAAAACATGAGCAAAGTAAAAAAAAAAAACATTAACAAGTAACCTAAAGTCTCAGGCACAGAATACCCCAACGCCTCAGAACACATCATTATTCATCTCAGACCTTTGAACAGAAAAAAAAAATGTGCCTCACGTTACATTTCTAAATATTATCCAAAGACTCTCCGACTGGCACCATCTCAAATGTCTTGCAAAAAAGTGAAACATTTTTTATTTTTGATTTTGATTTGTGTTTACTTAAAAAAAAAAAAAAAAAAACAGGAAAATGACTGAACCAGCATCAAATTTACAATCTAATATGACCTATTCAAATTCAGATAATTTTGATAAATAGAAGCTGTTAACCCAAACATTCATTTGTATAGCATGGTAGTGCAAACACCCACATTTTAGTTCCAAGCCAGGAAATATAAACAAGACCAACATTTGGCACTGAAGCTGAAATTGTCTTGTTGCCTGGCAGCAACTCTTAGCACATCTGCACAGCCAGAAGAAAGTAACTCAGATTCTTTGTCACAGTAGATTGCAGGTAAGTGCCTTCTGTTTGATGTGCTTGCAAAAAGAAAAACAAAGAGGTCAAAGCAACATTTCATTTTAAAGAGTACTGAGAATTTTCTTCTTGAGTTGATTTCAAAAAGTGTTTCAGATTATTGTTTTTGTTCTTTGATTAATGTACTAAACAGTGTTATTCTTTTCCCTGGTGATCTACACTAACTTTATCAAGTTGTCCTATATTTGGTTTTAGATCTGACTCCAAAACAAGTTTGAATTTCTTTATTTAATTCTTTCTTTTTCCGTCTTTCTCAATCTATCTGTATTCATTTGAGCTTAATGTCTATCACTGAGAAATGAGTTTATAACAAAAAAAACACTTTATGTCTTCCTTTCGTTGCGTGACGTTTTTTGATATCCTGTGGTGTTTCCCGGATCGCATTGACGCAGAAGAGTGATTTCTCAATGAGTTTTGACATATTTGACCTTGTTTTTTCTTCTTCTTCTTCTTCTTTTGACATTGACGCGGATGATGAAACGTCAGCTGACTGATGACGTGTAATTCTGACTAACTTTAAAATAAGGAAGCACGTTTTTTTTTCTCAACTCGACAGTCGACAAAACCGGTAGAAGGACAAAAGCCGGGTAGTTAGAGGTTACTCTCACGATACACCTGATTTGACACAACAAATTAACCGAAAGGTAAGACCACGATCCTGAAAAGTTGGGTTTAATGGTTGTTGGGTTTTCTGCTCCGCCTTGTCGAGTTTTCGACTTGAAAAAGCGAGTTAGATATGGGTTTGTCACTTCCTGCCTCCCACAACGTGGCCTGGTACCGGTCTGAGCCTTTTACCATTGAATCAAGTACATTTTAATCATAATGCTGAATTGCTTTCATATTACTTGGAGTTGAAATTAAGATCTTCGTCCTTTATGTTTTATCCCAATATGCTTAAATAATCGACAACAGCAACAAAACATTTTTGCTGTAGTGTTTGCTGAGAAAATGAGTAACTTAAATATCCAGAAACTCCATAGTTACTTCTTTTGTTTCATTTTAAGAGCACTTAGTTTCTGTTCGTTCTTTAAAAAAAAAAAAAAAAGTAGATTTTGTAACACGTTGGATGTCGCCCCCTAGTGGCATGTCTTGTTAAATAAAATCAAATGAAATGTGTTCTCCTTTCCAGAAATTATGAGCGGGGACATTGAAAAGGGAAAAAAGACCTTCGTCCAAAAGTGTGCCCAGTGTCACACTGTAGAAAAAGGCGGGAAGCATAAAACTGGACCCAACTTATGGGGCCTGTTTGGACGTCAGACAGGCCAGGCTGATGGCTACTCTTACACAGATGCCAACAAAAACAAAGGTAAATACTGTTTAATGTGAATAAGAATTAGTTTCTTAATCAGGGATCACGCTGTTTGACTTTGACTTTACTTTTGGACTTACTGTAATTTCCAGGAATTGTATGGAATGAAGAGACTCTGAATGTTTATCTGGAGAATCCAAAGAAATACATCCCTGGGACAAAGATGATCTTTGCTGGCATCAAGAAGAAGAACGAGCGCGCCGACCTCATCGCGTATCTCAAGTCATCCACTTCGTAAACGAGGATTTCCTCTGCACAGCTTTACCTGTCTTTGTGTCTGAAGTTAAGCAGCTCAGGAGACTCTTTCATTCCAAACTAAGGCAGAGCAGGAACCAACTAAACTGAAATCGAATGTCACATATGCTGAAACTGTTTATGAAATTGTGATAGCTGTTTTTACATATGATAACTTCCTGTTTTAACAGGTATATTTTTGTAATCTAAAATAATGAATAAGTTCTGTGCATGTAGAAGAAAATGAGTTGGACCTCCTCATGGTATATTTGTCTTAGTAATCATATTTATCATTTTGTAATTTACTTGAATAAAATTGACACTAAACATTTTCAGTTTTTTTTTTTTCCTTTAATAGTAATACAAATCTGTTTTGTGTTTAGTTAAAGGTAAATCAGTAACGTTTATATGAAGCAGAGATTGGGGCCTTTCTTGTAATTGTAGATCTTTTCATAGTCCTACAACAAGGACCAGGGTTGGGAATCACTGGTTTAGAGAGCTGCGTCTAAGCATCATAACCAAACTATTTTAACTGAAACCGGCTATTTTTAGCTGTAAATTGTGCACTTTGGAGGCATGTCATCTGCTAGCGAATCTCGCCACTGTGTTTTATCAAGTCCAAGGTAGTCATAGTCCTTTTTTAGGGCACTTTATGCTTCCCTCTGCTGATGAGCTTTATGGAGATACAGATTTTATTTTCTAGCTGAACTTGGCACCTGCTCACACGGTTCAAAGTATCTCTTCCTGTCAGGGTGTCACTGTGCTTGAACGGTCAGAAGACGGGGCTGACATAAACCCTACAGATATTCTGTGGAATATTATAAAGAGGGAGTCACCAGTCAACAATGCAGGCAAGCTAAATTAATTGTTGCAATTAAATGTTTTTGTTTTTAATT